TGTAAAACAGCAAGGCTAAAACAACTATTAGTAATAATTATTAAGTAACTATTTAAATACAGATCGTTTTCAACATTTTTTTATCACAATTCGATGAGACCTATGCTCTTCGGCTTCCCATACACGCGGTAAATCGCCTTCCCATAAATCGATTCCCATAAATCGCCGAAAATCAACGCTGAGATTTATCAAACACGAGGACGCGTGTATTCGTAATAATCGGGCGCACCAGAGCTATTCATTAAAGCGGAAACCAAACGTATGTCCGTTTAAAGTCTAAACTAAAAAAGAACATCCATTTAAAGTCAGATTACACGTTTCTCCGACACGGAATAATAACGACACGCGGTTCGTAGCAGCTTTCGACCGTGTACCAACGCGACGGACGCGTGATCTCCGGCAGTGGATCGCATACCTATCCTAGATCTGGAAAAATCTAGTTCGCTGTATTTACGGGAAAAGCCACAGGAGTGACTCGGTTTCTCGCGTGAAACTCGGATAGCGTGACGTTATTTGTATTTTATTCGATATACGTCGCGTCGCCGCGCCGTGCGGCTCGCGTCGGTCAGCTTAATCTAGCGGTAAAATAATACGCGAGACGCGCGGATATCTCGCGATGAGAGAGACGTGCAAGTACCGTCTCGCGGAGATGTGACCGTCAAATGGACGAAGTCGAAATCCGTCCGCTTTCCAAATACGCGGATAATCGAATTATCCAGGCGTGGAAAATGCGGCACGCGCAGTATCGCGCTTTTGAACGCGATTGTTCCCGTTCCTCTTCCCGTTGTGCCACTCGAGAAAGTTTTGGCGCACGGTGAGAACGCTCTATACGCTTTTTTAATGGTACCGTACTTCGCGTTCATCGAATAATTATAGGAATTTTAATTATCGTGCGAAAATTGACTAAATTTTTAATTTGCACTTATTAAATTTGAAAAAATATAACGGGCTGCATTAACGGGAGCGAAGTAACTTGGGAATTTTTATTTGTGATTTGTGCTTAATTTCTTAGAAATATGACTCGTCGGAAGAAAATTAATTAAATAGACATCGAGAGAGAGAAATCGTATATATACAAAAATCCATTATAAATTCATATAACTCCAACAATGTTTAATTTGCACTTATTACACTGTTAAATATTAAAAGATGAAATTTAAACCAATATTTTGAGTTAAATAATACTTTATTATTTTTAACTACCATGTGTGTCAAAATTTATTATTTTAACACAAAACAGTATTATTTTAACTTTATTGGTTTAGTTAAATTAATAATATATTGAGTAAAGAGCAGTGGCGACCTACAGGAATGGTTTTAAAAATGATACAAATGGAGTATATAATTTGACACTACGAGTTTAACAGTGTAACTTTACAAAATATATAACAGACTGCATCAACGGGAGTGAATAAGTAGCTTGGGAATTTATATTGCGTAGTTTATGCTCAATCTTTCAAAGATATAACTGGCACGTCAGAAGCTACATTGAAAGAGAAATCGTATCCATTATAAATTCATACAAAAATCCACTAGAAATTCGTCCGACAATGTACTTGTTAAATTAGAAAAAAAAAATAGACTGCATCAACGGAAAGCGAAGTAACTTGGGAATTTGTATGAGTAATTTATGCTCAGTCTCTTAGAGATATAACTGGCACGTCGGACGAAAATTCATTAAACAGGCATCGAGAGAGAAATCGTATACAAAAATCCATTATAAATTCGTGCAACTGGTCGGGCGTATTAGTTAGGAGAAAGTGTACGGAAATACATCGTTTCGTTTGCGAAAGGATCGTTTGTCCGTTCCATTTCGGACATCACGGAGAATTATTAACCAGATTAAGTTCCGCGTCTTCGGGCAAAAATGGAATGGATTTCACACGCAATTGATTTTAACGAGAGCGACCGACGTGCAAATCGCGTGCAAACGTTACGGCCGGTATAGTAACGTGATGTTACAACTCTATAAATATTTCTAAAACGCTCTCGATCTAAAAATTCAATCACGACTGCCTTAAACCGACAAGCAATCGATCAATGATAAAAGTTAACGACAATCGTTTCCAAAAGAATCGTTTGTCCGTTCCATTTCTGACGCCACGGAGAATTATTGACCAGATGATTTTCAAGCAAAAATGGATTTCACGCGCAATTGATTTTAACGTGAGAGACCAACGAGCAAATCGCGTACAAACATTACGGCCAGCTTATACACTGATGTTACAAAACTATAAATATTTCTAAAACGCTTTCGACCTTAAAATTCAATCATAAGCCGGTATTCATATAGTCGGATCTTATATTTAAGACCATCTTAAATAATATCTTAAGATGGTCTTAAATATAAGATCTGACTATGAATGCCGGCCATAATTGCTTAGATCGACAAATCGATGATAAAAGTTAACGACAATTGAGTTAATATAGCATTTTCCGAACGACGAGCGAACGATGGCTGACAATTTCCTAGAAAAAGAAAAAGCTATATTTATAGCGATAAAAACGCGTAACAACGCGTGTTCTCCTTATTATCACTGCGTGATGCCAGTAATTACGCGATCTGCAAAATTACGAGCGTCTGAAATTACATTTACAGGCAGTAACGCGCATCTGTAATGTCCTTTCCCGTCTTTACCACGTAGGTGTGTGCACGCAATAATATCATTTATATTTATTTTCCAACGCGTTCATTCACGGAGGCGGTATCGTAATCGTATTACGCTCTCGCGATACCGCCTCCGCACACGAATTTATATAATTACGGGGACCATTTAATTATCGAAAGGCGCGTCAGCAAATTGTAATCCTTAAAAGTATAAACTACACTTGAAGAGATACACTCGACGTTCCGCATTGTGGAAGCGCAGTCTGGCGTTGCAGGATATTTCAAATCGACCAGCGTGCACGCGTTTTTCTCTACACGCGCGCACGCACGGGCGCGTTTCGTGATGATGAAGAGAAAAAAAGAGAGAAACAAATTGCCGCCACACGTGTTATAATTTAAATATCGATTGCACGCAAGAGATCCGGATTCATTGAGTTCTGATCGCTTGTTGAATTTTAAGACTTATCGAGAGTGCGTTTATCACTATTCATATAATTTATATAAAAAATGTTTTATCGAGTAATGACATGATCGATCAAAAATATTTTATAAATTTCTAAATGAGGACTACTTTAATTAGGAAAGATATTGATATAACTATAAACTACTTAATTTTTTTAACAGCGCCGTTAACGAGCAGCAAGCGAGCCCGTGCCGCATGCGTTTCTTCTCTCAGCCACGCTTCGACCGTGAAACGGTCTATGAAACTTCGTAGTCAGACGGAAAAAAAACATATCGGCATCATAGTGGTTCATTGATACAGCATACTTGCACGTTTTGCACAGCCTGATAATTGGGCCAACAAAAAATGCGCACGTGTATACATGTATATATTGATGTCCTGTTAACGGGCTGGATTGCCGACGTACGTAGGATATTAAAAAAAAGGATCCGAGACGTATAGTGTTCACTAAGAAGAGTAAAAAAAAAATGCTTAATCAGCGTGAGTTGTTGAAGGATTAAACATGAAATCATGATCAAAATGAAACGATATTCGGTTTTGGTAATATCAGTGATTTGCTTGCATTTTTGCGCAAATCCGTTTTAGGACTTTTTTTTCACACAAATCGAACTTGTTCTGGTTCTGTTTATTTCCGCTTTGCTAATATATTTTATAATTTTGCAGCAGAATATTCGGAACATCGCCGATGTGATATATTTCACGAGATAGTCACTATTCGATGAATCTAATGCTTTTACATGCGGAATGATCAGAATTGATTTGCATAAAAGATAGAATAATATAAATCCAAAATTTGCGTTAAATGTAAAACGCAAATTAATTACTTATATTACCAAAACCTGAAAATGTCTATATCTGGCGTGCTTCGACCTACGTTGATCAGGCATCTTTTATTAAATATGTCAATGAACATTACACACTATATTAGTCTTGGATCTTTTCCTTTAAATTGATTGTATATCGATCACCTCCCAAACTCTTTCAACAGTTTTCGAGTATGTATGTACAATATAGAAACATTATGGAAATATAATAACTTATAATCACAACGAAAATAGAAATAATTACATATTGCCGATAGTAAAAATATAAATAAATTATACATATTATTTATTATTCATATATTCGGATCGCTATCAAATAGACACGCCGTTTTCACTTTTAATTATTTAAATCCTGCGACGAAGAGCGGAGAAAGAAAGAATTTCACTATTTCTCCATTCCGCTTTAACATTCCATATAAAGCCACATGATAAAAGCATATGGCCCATAATCTCGACATAATTAAAAACTGGCGTGGCCAAATACGCCTTCGTGAGAACAAGGCAAGTTGAAGCAATTAACTTGGCTTATATTAACCAATTAGCATAACACGTGCATCCGATTTAACGGGACCGAGGAGCCACCGGGCGAAGGAATTTCACGGTGATTCACGTGAAAGAGCGAGTCGCTTTTGTCCGTGCGCCCGAAATTTCATCTCGTTGATCCGAGAAGTGGAGTAAACGTCTCACGATCGAGGAGAAATCTCATTAATGCGCATCTAAGTGACTTTTAAAAAACGAGCGTTTCGGTTTCGCGGGAAAAATTCGAAAGTCTCGATTTTTGTTCAATCGCTATCCAGATTTCGAGCAGCGTACCCGTCCCTCTCTTGCCCCACACTGTAGGAGTACTATCTGGCAACTTATCGCGAGAGACTATATATGATATGTAAAAATGGAAATGCTGGATTTGGAGATTTAAAAAAATGTACCTTTTTTATTTCTATGAAAATATATTTAAAGCATTATAAATAATATTATTACCTCGAATATAACAACTTTTAGAAGTAGTTTCTTATCGTTGTGAGATATCTTAAAATTCCATACTGTCGGCTGAAACTGAAAGCAAACATGAAATTACGATAGAAGTTAGGATCGTTAATTATACAAAATTTATACAAAAACTGATTTCGCTAATTATGGCGCGCTTACTTTTTCCTTTTAATCTCTGTTCCCGTCGCTCAGCCTCCAAGTGTCGCAAGAATTCTTGAAAAACGTGCAGTGACTTGTTCAAGCTCGTTTTCTTGTAATCTTTAATTCGTTTTTTGTTTAAGTCGTATGTCTCTTCTTCAGCCTTGTCCTTCACATCGTACGCATTGATCTCACCTATCAGCGTCATTATTGTAGGCACCTTATCAGGATCAAATTTATCCACCGCACTCGCGTTGAACGGTATACAAACTTTGCCAGTTTTCGGATGGATGCAAAAAGGCGATTTCAATAAGTGATTTAAGCCTTTGCTGACATTTATGTCTAATCTTGGATACGAGTATTGTAATTTTATCTCTTCGATCAAGTGACGGTACAAATACCATTTTCGGTCGCCCTGAAATTAAATAAATTAAGTAATTTCGATGTTCCAAATTAAAATGCGATAATGAATTAGAATCGTTCCGATATAATCGTACCCCTGTCCGTTTAGATTCGATGTACTGTATAAATGCGTTCCACCTTGCTTCACTGGTATTTTCTTTACCGAACAACACCTTTACTTCCTGTCTATCTTCGTCAGTAGGCAATATCGGAAGGAACTTTTCGATTGCTTCTTCCGTGCCCAACATGTTTTGCTCTCTGACGCACATTTCAATGAAAACAGGATCGATTATATCCAGAGCACGCCTGTAACATATATCATCTCTCCATATATTACCGATTTCTATTTAAATTATTATTATTGTGAACGATATGTAGACCTACTTGATGGAATGGTGAATTTTATCGCCAGTGAGATGTACCTTCTTCTTCATAAATTCACCTCCGCCTATAATCTGTAAATATTCGGCAACCGCCGCTCGTACTTGTCCTGACAAGGTGCGGGCTGTGGAGTCACATACCCAGCAATGAATACCTCTTCTGCCAGAGAATACCCATAAAATATGTTTGTATCCAAAATCCACTGTAAAGGTAAATTACACTCAGTTACTTCAGAATATTCACTGGCGTTACAGGCAGTATAGTGACATAAATACATACTTACATCTCAATGCGTTGTCTAATATCTTACAAGCAAGTGACATGAATTTCCAACACTTGCCGCAAATGTCTGTTCCCTTGCAACATGTTCTTACTTCATCGTAATCAGTCATGTCTATATCAAACACCAATTCTCTCTCTACTGGCTGAAAATTTGGGCCTCTTCTTTGATCTTTCGGCCTAAAAATATATAAACTCTCAATTTTATTCATTACGCCTTATTTCTTTAAAAATTTTATTACTTTTTATACTAATATCTCTTATGACATATAAAAATTAAAGCTGACATCACATTTTTTATGAAATATAGATTTAAACTGATAATTATTAAACTTTTTTCCAATCATTTTTACTATTTAGCATTCTGTTTTAAAATAGATTTAATTAATAGTGTAATTATTAATGTCTCCCTGTCTCTGTCTGCGTCACACCTATGTTATGCTCAATATTCTGTTCAAATCTGCTGGCAAACTGCTAACATTTTAGGAATAAAGTCTACCGTAGCGATATATCAGATCATTGAAACATACCGCTTAGAATTACTTAAAGAAATAAAGATGAAGATTAAAAATTTCAAAATCAAAGACCATAAACCAGAAATAAATCCTGATCTTACAAGAGAATCCATTACTGAGAAGAAATACGACAATCTTTGTACAGTAAATTGTGATATACTTTACTGAGAGTTATAAACTGCTCCTATATCTATTTTATGCGGCAGCAATCTTTTAATCTCATCCGACAGTGCCTTCTGATCGTTGAAAGACTGGTAGCGTATGTAAATGTCGTCTGAGAGAGTGAACGAGAATTCTCTCTTGCTAAAAGTACCCACTGAAAGGAAGAATTAAAAAATGATATGACATTGTTAGATACGGTGCATTAAATATATATATATTAAATACGAGCAAAGGAAAAATAAAAATCTTACTCTTACCATTTCCATAACTCAGCCACCTATGATAGTCGGCGAAGGGAAACAATCTTGAGTAATAGACTGGTAATAAGTCAAGCAAATCCGAAATGTCACCCATTTTAATGTAATTAACTTCTTTCCTTCAAGTTTCCTCTAGCCCAAGGGTGAGTTTTAGGCGCTTTTGACTAGCCCTTTAGGTCATATAGCACAGAGTCTCTTGCTCTAATGTTATTTAAACTCGAACGTATAAGGTTATGCACGTGCAACTTCGAAATCTGCTATTTCTTACTGCAGATTTTCTGCTCGTTAAATATACTGAAATAATATTGTATACATCAACGTTGGAATAATGTATAAACCCGTTTCAACGCACGAAGTTTAAACACAGAAACCAGAAACACGCGGAATCGATCACAACAGAGAAATGGCGCGAAGTTCATACAATTGCTTTCGGATTAGGTTAAGTATAGAAGTTTGTTCTTTTTCGACGAGTTAAGAGTGAGACAAGTACGTTCTGTTTCACTCTAACTTGTTGCACCAATGTGCACCCAGTTCAAGAAGTTCTTCGAAAAAGAACAGACAGTATTCGTGGAACCGTCGAATTACAGTACAAACTGTAATAGATGTTTGTGTGGAGAGCACAAAAAAGTACTATGCCCTCCCTACTTTTATGATATAATTTATTCAAATTATACCATTAATTTAGTCATTAATGACAATTTAACTTCTACATAAAAGACTAATGCTACGAACATGACGCATAACTTTTCACGCATAAACATTTTATTTATTGATATCGATACACGTACATTGAATAAAGTTTATAATATAGTGATTTTAGTATGTTTACATAGACCATTTTATATTTTCTACATGTATATAAAAATATAGCTATATACTATACTCAGAAATGAACAGAATTATCAAGATTTATATTCTTGTATGAACATGAACATGATCAATTGATTTCTTGTCGATATTTCTGAGCAAGCGTATAAGTACAAGTTATTACAAAATGACTTGTCATGCATCAATAACATATTTTATCTACACTTTCATGCATTTCATATACTGTCAAGCATATACATATATGAAAAGTAGTTCGTGATTTATCTCTTTACTTATTCTAATAGAAAAAAAAACTCTTATTCAATAGTTTTGTATGCTAGGCAAATGAGATATTTCACGAATTTGGAATAAAACGTCTATACTTCACACCTCGATATTTACTTCAATATATACTTTACTTATAATACAGTCTTTTCGGCGAAAAAAGTTCTTGCTCGCCATCAATATCAGCTACTTGCAAAATCATTGGAGATTAGATGATCCATTTCTTGTCATTTCCCATAATCTTTCATTTGCATGGGTAGCTTATACAACTATCGCATATATAAAATAATGCCACTTATGCTGCATTATGCTAAACATTTTTTAAAAGGATATCAATATCACATATAGAAGCGTGATTGACACACACACACATACACTCATGTACGCAAAGACACACGCATACAATTTTTCGATAATATCAACCATCTTTTTTTCTTTCAGTTATTAAAAAAATACTGGCATTATTCATATAAGATAGAAAAAAGTGTATGAATATGTTAGGAGATAAAAAAGCCTCAATTAAACAATGTTAAATCAAGCGTATGTAAAACCGAGAATTTAAGGATTAATAGAAATCAAAGACCGAGATCATTAGAACTGTTGACAATTGTACGATTAATATATCATGCCAAGAGTGATTAACATATCATATTATTATGGGTTTATTATTTTTCATGACAAGGGTTAATCATATATGTGGATATATTTATATACATCTAATCGTAAATTACTTAAATCTGTTTTACATTTCTATTAATTAGACATATATTTATTCCAGTTGTCGTTTAACATTGAAGCAATAATATCTATATAAATTTTATGTGTATATGTGTATATTTAATTATTTACAAAAAGTTCCCTATGTATATAACTATTTTCAAACATCGATAATTATAATCATAAAATTGTAAGAATAATAGTGTATTTATACTGCTCTTCATATAAATAAGTAAATATTTAATATTGTCTAATCCGTAAAAGTTCTTAGAGAATTTTACACATAAAGTATTCTCTCCTTCAGCCACTATTTCTAGTAACAACAGCTTAACATTGTTCAATTAAATGCTAGAAATTTTTGGTCATGGTTCTTAGAGCTGACCTTTTATCTTGATGATTGGCTTTTTCAGCCAATTTATTCAATTTTGTTAATTTTTAAGGTTTTCGACCAATTGGAAAAAGATAAAAAAGAAAGGCCCGACCAATTGGCTGAAAAAGCCAATCATCAAGATAAAAGGTCAGCTCTAAAAACCATGACCAAAAATTTACTGCCATTGGTCGCCATGGCTTGCTGCGGTACACGTATGCACCTAAATGAAGTACCTAGAAAATAAGCAAAAAAATTACTAATGGTAATTACTAACGGTAATTACTAACGATAATTTTTTTGCTTATTTTCTAGGTAATTCATTTAGGCGCATACGTGTATACCGCAGCAAGCCATGGCGACCAATGGCACTAGAAAAAAGGTATTCGACCAATTGGAAAAAGATAAAAAAGAAAGGCCCGACCAATTGGCTGAAAAAGCCAATCATCAAGATAAAAGGTCAGCTCTAAGAACCATGACCAAAAATTTCTAGCATTGTTAATAGATCGATAATTCGATGTCTGCTGAAAAATGTATTGGCTACATTTAGAAAATACGATCGAATAATTGGCTTTTGAAAAATGATGGTTATCCAGGTGTATAGGTACTACTTATTCGCAAAAATTTTATATTTTATAATTGCACAACCGTTGCATCTCTAAAACATAATCGTCGAACATGGTCGTGTTTTAGATATAAAAACGTTTTAATGGAACTTAATCATCAATAACACTTTAAAACCCCGGCGAAAATTGTAAAATATTTCGCTGTAAAATATATTTCTAATCATTGTAAATTCCGAAACTAAAAAAGATACTACTTTATCGCTGCAGAAAAAAAAGATAAACATACACATTCCGTTTTACTTGTCACGAGGCATCTTGACAAGAACTGTCCTGGTGCCTTCGGTATCAGAGATGTTGATCTTGAGCTCGTTAGTAAGAGCTTCGAGCTTATCGACTTTGACCGTCCTCTGTCCGCCTGGATTCGGCGGTGGCCATGTGTCGTCCAGCGGTGGTTCGATATACTGTTTCTTCGTCTTTGAGATGGCAAGATCTGGTTTTAAGCCAAGCGTTCCTCCCACATGGTTTACGGAAGAGACGTACTTAGGAGTAGGTTCGCTGTCAATACGGGGACGTTTGTACAGAGGCATCTGAATTACCGGGCTGTAATCGTGATCTAGAAGACCTTCGACCTCCTGTAACAACTCCTCGCCGTATTGCTGTAGTTCTTCGTCCATTAGCTGCTTCGTATATAACAAAGTTCTCGAGCGACCTAAAATTAAAATTATTGTCTCGTAGAATATGGCTCGGCTATGATTATTGTGATATAGTTTACGCTATGATTCCATCAGCAACTACATACATCAGCAGATACATTCATTAAATATTTCGAATCTATTCTACAGTCTGTCGCACAAGAGCACGTGAATGATTACTTTTGTGTTTTAGAATCAAAATTTTTTATATGTTTTGAAACATTAAATATATTCTCATGTTATTATAAAATCGTGACGTACGGTGGAGATCATTACTATTACAAAAACGAAAGATAGTAAGCATATAATTAATATCACTCGTAGGAATCAAATTACGAAAGAAATTAAATAATTTATTTTCTTTTATATCTATTCTTTTATTTAATTAAGAAATATAGCATTGATGTCAACGATATCATAAAAAATATAAGAACTTTCTTATACATATAGTTTATCGCTGAAAATTATAAAATGTTATTTAAAATATTTTTTATAAAACGAAAAAGCTATGCTTTATTTAAAAAAAAAAAAGTTTATTCCAATAGGGATTCTATACACAAGTTACGCGAAAACAGAATTGTCTCAATAATAAACGAATCAGTGAAAGGATCAGTGTTTTTCTTTCCCCTTTTAGAAAGTAGTAAGACTACTTTTTAACGATCCCATAAGCGTGTTACAGTTTTCACTGTTCTCGCACGTATATAGGTCTCTTATTATTAATTTTGTAAACAAGATGACACGTTCGAAGGGTTACATTTTTTTAGAATTTAAAACAGCCGATTCTTTTCTCTTTTACTCAAATTCTCGCTTCTCCGATTTTCTCTTTTTAATTTATATATATTTATATCATATTCTGTCCTAATTTCTACACATGCATATTATTTAAATTCGGAAAAAATTAATTTTTTGCGAATTATACAAAACGAAATATCACTTTCAAATCTGTTAATGAACTCGTTGAACGGTTTCCTGCTGAATTTAGACAATCTAAATACCACGTGCGTCAGTTATTTTGCAATGTGCAACTGCGACGAAATTCGAGATCATTATTTGTCAAATGGAATTTGCTGTGTACACAGTTCAATACCACGAAAAATCAATTTTCTTAAGAAAATGAAATCTGTACAAGTAAAAGTATTTTTTCAAATAATAATCAATAGTAATGCAGCACCAAAATTTAAATATCTTTAAATATCTTATTAAATATCTTTAAATTCACAATTATAATTTAATGTAAAAAATCTTAAATTACAATTAATTACATTTTCTACTGCGTGTTACGTAAAATCTTACATATATTCTTATCACTGCCTACGACTTATTAATGTCATTGTTGACGCTTGGTCTGTTTTACAGTCTGTGTAAATAATGATAATATGAAGGATAAGCATAAAAAGATTTTGAACATTATCAAAAGGTATTTATAAACGTTGATACTCTTAGGTTTCTATTGAATCTCGGGTCTAAATATTATGTCATTGTATCTTGTTAAGATTATGTTCATGGTCACTTATATTACATAACACTTATTCCATTTAACTTTATTGAAAGTTAATTTATTGTGATTCAAACTTTTCATATAAGAAAGAGTCTTCTAATAAAAGAATGACAGAACGTACCCGCGAGTGATGTTTTTTCTGGTTGCTCCTGCTCTTGTGTTAAATCGTTACTGTTATTGTTGGAATGTGGTCGCAAATTCGGTAAAGCGACGAGAGCTAACGAAAGCAGCAAGACCATCAGACAAGTTGCCGGTTGGGCGCTCTTGTTGCCCTTCTGTATGAGCGCTTGCAGTCTCTTTAACTGGCCAGCCAAACTTTGATTTTGCGATTGTAAGGCTTTGATTCGTTTCAGCAACGTTATATTCTCCTCTGTACACTGTTTCACGCGATCTTCCAAGCCATCCACGTACTCTTTTTTCCTCTTGCGGGAATCCTGCGCGGATATCTTATTACGAATCTTGCGTCTGATTCTCTTCAATTCACGCTCCTCGTGCTTTGTCAACGGATAATGACTGGGCAATGTGATACCCTCTTTTTGCAATAATCGCTTTTCCTCGGCATTCAACTTTAGTCGTGGATAAGTCGAGTCAGTTTCCGACGTCACTTCATCACTGGAATTGCAACCTTTGTCGCTATTGGAGTCCTCTTGTTTGATAGTCATCTAATTATAACATGAAAACAGTCGTTAATATGTATCATTATCTACAATATAACATCTTTGTATTATAACTATAATTAGTGTTTTAATGAATATAACAATATTTTGACATCACTTTTTCAATAACAAATTCTTTAATACAATTTTATAATTTCTTTTAATTTCTTCTTAGTGTTAAAGTATCGAGTTATTTCTGGGTTATAAGCAAAATTGAAAATTGTGCTTTTTACAAATTAAATTTCGACAAACCAGACCAACCAGACGAATGGCAATACTACATCCTTTATTTAACTTTAGATTCAATTTGTTATAAGAAAATTTAAAGTATAATTGTAAAAACGATACACCGATACATTTAAATACATGCGTAAATAAATCTTTTCATCGAAGAGTTTATTTAGATATTATATTGCATATCGCGTACCTGAATAGGTTTGTTGATTATGTTTGCTTGATTGATCTTGAAGCCTTTCAAATTTTTTGCTGGTGTCGTCATGATCTTGATAGTTCGGACTTCCTTCATATCCTTCAGACTCACTGGCAATAGGATAGACCGCGGATTACCGGAGCCCATTGGAGTGACGCGTATCAATTGTCGAATATTTCGCTTTCCGTTACATAGATTGCGAATATTTACGGCATTCTCTTGCGGCGTAGGTTGCTGTTGTTTAGGTGCTGGATCTGTATAATCATATACCTCATATCATATGAGAACCTCGTATATCTTCTCATATTGCAGGTTGAACTTTTATGCGGAGAGAACTTCCATATTAGAAAAGAAAAATAATCCGTTTTTAAAATTGATTTTTTATATTGATTGCCAAGTGATGGGAAGCTTCAAATCAATAGCAAGTACATGTGATAAGTGTGTATCGTAATTTATGAGACGCGAACATGTTATCGAAACTAAAATTGCATCATGTTAGTCAGGATATATAATAACACGTTATTCAATAACATTTCCCGTAGCCCTGCGTTTAGTATATCATATTATTACATATCATAGGTATTTACATATGTCCCTGAACGTGATAAGATAATCTTACCAATATCAACTACCGGTTGCTCCGTAGCGATAGTAGTGCCCAAGCTCGGCGTAGTATTGTTTGGCGTTACAATGGCAACTAAAGATTGCTCGTAATCCATCTCTTCGGCCAGGTCGGTGGTCGGCGAGCCGATATTCGAGCTCATGACAGATCTGATTGGACTATCTACACTACCTAAAGACGGACTGGCCGCAGGTTCAAAATCCACAAAATTTTGTGGACTGTTCAGGTCCGAATTCCCGATCTCCTCTTCCTCATTATTGTCCGTCCTCGTCAGAAACGGACTCAATTGCTGTTCGTAGGAAAGACTCAGCGCGCTGGAGAGCCCGCTGTCCGACGAAGAGGATGCGATCGTTTCCAGATCCTTCCCGATCAAGTTGAAATCGAGATGTGGATCCTCCATCTTCAAGATCGAGGCAAGCAGGTCGTCGGAATTCGTCGGGCATTCTTCTGCCTGGAATATCACACAAACGTCGTGTCCGTGTCTTAATCTTTCAACAACAGATTTTATGTATACTACACCGGATCAGTGCAAAATTTAGAAATTCGACAAGTTATTTATCAGCCGCTAAACCACCCGTATATTTTCTTTTTTTTGTGCGTTAACATAAAATTAAGATAAATCGAGAAAGAAGGATGCAAAATAAAATCTGGCTTATGTAATCGAAATCAATACGACGCATTTGCATCTCATTTGCCGAATGCGTATTATCGTTAAATATTGGTAGACGTGCAGTGAAACGAGATATCGAGCTTATCAAAAGAATATTTTTTTGAAGAAAGACAAAATGTTCCTCCTCTTATCAAATCTCAATGCAATAAATTTGCTATCCGACGTGTATCTTAAGAACAACGCGTACGATTTCATTATTGTCTTCGATTTTATCAATCCTACGTTACTCGCACGAGGTATAAAATACATCCCAGTCTTCGAAATGTATTAAATTCACAGAATCAAATTTTATCGATCGAATACTGCGCACAAATTGCCAACAATTAAACGATAACTTTTGCGCTTATCTTTATCTAAAAGATACATAGAATATTATCAATCCTTTTTTTAATTGTAAATCGTCAAACAGAACAATGAAAATTGAAATATAATGTTGAAATGAATAAAATGCATCCTATGCCAATAACTACGTTTAAAAAAAAAACAGGCGAGTAACGTAAGATTAACAACGATAATATATAATTATAGAAAGATAAAGAATTGTAAAAATATAAATTTATATCGGTGAGTGCGCCAAGCTGGAGAGTTAAGACTTGCGGTTACGAAGAATTCCGTAACATAACGGTATCCGTTCAAAGGTCATTCGCCGCGTGAAGAGACCGGCTTCTCGAGTTTCTGGTTCGAACGAAACTCAAAAAGAAACCGAAAGAGATCTGATCCGATTAATCGATCATAAATACATTAACGCATCACGACATTAAAATAGAAAATACTTGAAAATTATTCGATATTTTTATACGAATATTACTAGGAAGCGATCGTGTACGAAGAAAAAAAAACCGATAAAAAAGGGCTTCACGCGTAAATAATTAATATTAATTGTGCAGATAATCACGCTATCGTTAAATGTATTTGCGTAGTACGTTTCAGACATGGAACGGCGGATGACGCATTCGCCACGTGCCGACGCATTTCGAACATTCAATTATGTTTATTATGTACGCAATAAATAAAAAAAAAACGCATTTCAAATCGTTTGACTAATCATCGGCCGGGTAATCGGAATAGATACAATCAGATATAGATACAACTTGTGTGATACTCAGTTTCAGCGACTTGAGACTGAGGTTAAACGCGAGACCACGTGGGTAGTCGGCGCACCATATGTTAAAAGCGTGCCACTGACAAAAGAGAGATATACATCCTCCGTATATTAACGTTATCTCTTGAATAATTCTCGACAAAGACTCTACGACCTAGTTTTTGAAAGAACGTTTCATATTAACGTTATCCTCCGTGCGATTTGGCGATTTTAAATGATAAACCTGACGGTGTGAAGCCTTTAAACCCTACACGATGCGCCTATAATCCCTGACAGAATTTTATTCACGATTTTCTGTGCCCTGTAATATAAAGAGAAAAAATATTTGAAGAATTAAGACACATATACAAAGTATACGTCAGAATGTATATTTGCAATATATAAAATTATGAATAAAGTTCGAAAGTTCTAAATTCTGATAAAAATTATAGATCGCTCAAAGTGTAGCTCGACTGCAGTAATGAGATAAAAACGATATGGAATAACAGACAAATATAAATATAAACAAATAGATAAGGAATTCCATTCTTGTCTGCGTGCACAAGAGCACATGGCGTTTTGTACACCATATGTTAATATGAAATTAAATTTCACGTATGCCAAGCTTTATCGATAAAATACATACGCAGCTTTTGATAATGAACAGAGTTGTCGCTGCAAAGATGATTAAAATTACGATTTGCGAGCAATTGCAATCATTGCTGACCATATTATGGACTGAAATAACTAATGCTAGAGTATTATTTGTTTCTTGAACAGGCACACGTGCTCTCGTTACATTGTAATAGAACATAAAAGGATCATTCAAATGTAATCGGTAGTTAATTTATTTGACAAAGCGTTAAAATTTATCTTTATTTCAATGAGCTTCTATAGGCCTGTTTTTTTTAACTGAACTTCTTGCACAGTTCATCTTTTCTCTTTTTCTTTTCATGTTGGATAGAAAAAGAGAAAAGATGAACCGTGCAAGAAGTTCAGCTAAAAAGAACAAGCCTTATACATATTTATGTATATATGTGTGTGCTCTGCTTTAGTTTTATTGAAAGTATATGTAAGTAGGTCTCTTAAATTCACAGCTAATTTGTCAGAGTTATTACAAGAAGCTCGAGTGAACCAGATAAGAAATGGAATGCGACGAAATATCGTCATTGAGACTTTCTAGATATTAATTCTCAACGAAATTCAAGATTTTTAGCACCGTTTAATCCAGACGAGGATGTGACACGAGCTGACACAATTCATCCTTGACAATTCTGATTATCGACCTCGTGGAGTTGAGTCATGCAACAGTAAATATCATCTCTTCTCGCTTCAACAACGTATATCGTTTAATCAAACAAAACGCTGTTGCAAAATATGCATCTGGTCAGAAAGTAAATCACCATTCCACCATATGGAATGTCCTACGTAAACTAATTTTAATGCCATAAGATTAAACAAGTCGCTCTTTCATGGATTATGTAAATGGTAAAAAAAGCCACACAAATTTTATAGAACTAAACACACCTCGAGTAATAAGATTGCGAGAATTTATATCAAATAGACTGTCTCTATGCTATAGCGATACTATAATCTTTCTAATATTGTATCACCAATCATGTCACCCTATCAATTGTATTTAAGTAGAGTTCAATATGTCACACATTATTAATGGACAGTGTAATACTTGGACTTTTAATAGATTATCAATTCGATAAATTTCGGAATTAAACATCTCGGAACGAAAGTATCTCCCTTCAGCATCGCGAGAAATGACGCGTTGGATCCGTGCGGATAAAAATATGCCGAACCCACGTGCCAATCGCGCGTAGCGCTTGGTAAGCGCACGACGGAAACTTGCGGGTGGAATTGCGGGAGATCCGGGACTCACCGTGATGACGTCACCATAGTTATGGTCCACATCTTCGATGAGGTGGTGGCCGATCTCCAGCGAGCTCAATTCGGACAAGTTGTGATCCACAAACAGCTCATTTTTAACGTCCCCCTTGAGAAACGTGTCGTCCAGGAAATCAAACAGGTTCATGTCTGACGACATCACTGTCTAACATAGAAAAATTTTTTTACAATTAGGCACAACCGTCGCGCGCTCGCCACCGCGCCTACCGCCGCTGTCAAAAACAAACCGCACTAACAATTAAACAATCGGGATCGGTGGTCGGTCAGCACTGGTCAGCACTCAACATTACGTGCGATCATCGCCGATCGAGGGTCGCACAGGGAGTCCGCCAGCGAAGCAGGCACTCGGGCAGCCCAGGCCCGGTTCCTCGCTTTTAATCTCGCCCCACCCTGTAGCCGAACGCACACCTCGAAATCCTCGAATCGCCGAGACTTCGTTTTAAGCGCTCGAATGCACCTTCAACACTTGGTCAACGCTTCTACGCTTTCACATTCTCGGATATTCGGGAATATCAATACGGTAAATTGACGGAACAACGCCTCTTCTATGAGGATAGCGCGCAGCGCTAAACCGCCAACGTGGCACGGTGGCATAGAGTCTCATTGATAAATATATATGTATACAAGTACGGTATATGTGTCATACGTATATCACAAATAAGAGCATCGATAAGGTACCACGTTTAAGATGGCTGACTTTACAGGAATTTGTGTAACTTGAAATGGAGACCTGCTAATTAGTATACGGAATGGGGCTCTTGAGCTCAGTCGCGATAAATTACGTAGTCGCGATACACGCATATTTCGAATGGTCCAAATGTATATTTTTTCCCAAATATCCGTTTGATATGATCCACCTGCAAAAAACGTAATGCTATCAACCTATGTACGCAGCGAGTTTTCTTATTTAATATTTATTTTATTATTATATAGTATTGTAATACTTAATTGCTCTAATTATGAAATTTATTATAGATATTCTTATTTGAGGAACTATAGTATTTATAAATATAATTCAACAATTTGTGAAATTCCTTGCTGTATACCTATAGTAACTTTATTTAAACAAAATAGTCAAATAAAATGTTTGTAATTTCAAAAAGATCGTTTCCAAAAGAACCAAAATCAACGTGGAGTGTTGATAAGACAACAATTCAAAAGTTTGTTCTCCTGAAGTGGCCATTTTGTTGAAAAGTATCGTGATTGAATCCGGAAATCCGGCCGATTACAGCGTTTTTAATGAAATTATAACGAGCTAGTAGCAGTATAAAAATCTGTGTATATAGGCCTGTTCGTTTTAGCTGAACTTCTCGCACAGTTCATCTTTCCTCTTTTCTTTTCGCGTTGGAGAGAAAAGGAGAAAAGATGAACTGTGCGAGAAGTTCAGCTAAAACGAACAGGCCTTTTTTTACTCCAGATTGGATGGAAAAAGATAAAAACTCTGAACTAGTGCAGTCAGTTCAGCAATAGAAAACGGTAAAGATCCGATGAACCACGTTGCGATTTTATCACAGCCCACTCACAGAGCTGGTCCAGTGGAAAAACTCTAGGCACCGGTCGTTGTGAGTGGCTGCGGTCAATCGCAACTAGAGACCCTATAATAAGAGACTGGCCGTAAGGCCAGTTCTATCAAAATCCTGCGAGAGAAAAGGATATACATTCATATATCGCTTTCTCTTTCTCTATCTCTCTTTCTATTTCTCTTGCTTTGACAAAACTAGAAATCGCTCCAAGATCTTGGACGGAGAAAAAATTGACCAATCACATTTCAACAATTCGACAATTGACCATTGCGATTGGTTAATTCTTTCTCTGTCCGAGATCTCGGAGCGATTTCTAGCATCGTGGACACGAGGGCCTAGAACAGAATGACTGACTTATAATTTTAAGACAATTAATGTTTTATGCCTTTTAAATCTTTGTTTTTTAGCAACGCACAATACTGCCTCGTGTCTTACAAATGTTGATACTTCGTACACTCGTTTAAGACTTGAGACACAATAAGACATTTTGCGTTACTAAATACAAAGATTTAAAGCATAAAGCAGTGTCTTAAAATTATAAGTCAGCCATTCTGCTTAGACCCTTATTATAGGGTCTCTATTTCTCTAATCGCAACGTGGTCAATCGAACTCCTACCAAAGAACCTTTACCATAGAAAACAGACCCCCTGTGGCCCCTGTATATCAGTACATCTAGGGAACCGAGCCTGGTGTATATATAAAAGTTGGCTGCGAGCTCGACACGCACCGCTCCGGCTTGGAACAAATAACTAGAGTGAATACATCATGGACAAACAGAACATCTATCTACGGAGATTCATTTGCGTTCACTCACTTCCTGGAAAAGGACCATTATTTATTCTTCGACACCTGCGTCGCCTAAAATTGGCCAGATAGGCTTCGAGAAGGAATCTGAACTCGGACCTTCAATAACAATTACTGCGACGAGGGCACCAAGAAAACAAATTTCAATGTCACGTGTTTTGTTGATATAGAAGCGGTAATGGACCAGTTCCAACTGCAATACGGGTATGTCCACTCGGGCCTCTCCCTGTTCAAATTAACGTAAATTAACAACGGGGCAAACTATTTTTAACTTTGAACAACTGTCTATTATTACATCATTTAGATTGCCGACTTTTCGTTGGCAAATTTTATTTGGCGAAAGGGTTTGCGTGAAAGATTTCATATTTCCGTGCTTAAAGAATCACGTGATTGCGCGAAACTTCGAATTTATATAAAACTTGTTTTCACGTTTCCACTCGGAAAATCGTATCATCACTGCCGGCAAACGATGGGATTGCGTCATAAAACAAAATGCATTCTCTCTTTCTCTCCATCCGTGTACATACCAGTGCATGCAGTATCGAAATTTGAATTTTTTTCAACTATATAGATTTTTTTTATTATTAATTTAAAACAATTTTATATTCGATTGCGAATTCATAGTAAAACAAAATAATGCATTCAACCAACTTTTCGAATTGTATGACAGAAGTTATCTTTTTGATTTCAAGGTTGATGCGTTCCGAATGTATTAAGTATATATTATTAACTTGACAGAGTAAAAGGTCAGAAAGAAGTACTTACAAAAGATACTACATCAACGTCAGTCGTCAGTATACGCAAGTTTTTGTGACATTTTTTGAGGCTATCGATACTATTATCTATGACAAATAATGATCATGCCCCGTCGCGACTCGCGACGTGCCGGCAACCAAACAAACGCACGCGTTCCACCGCCCACCGGTGAGATACGATCAAAGTCGACCTGCATCGACCCTGGCCGAGTTATCGTGATTATCAAATGAGGCCTGAGGGCACCAGGGGTCCTATGCAAGAATATCGATATTATCGACTATGGATACAAATTTTTCGATTGCTAAAATAAATTCATTTATAAAATATAATAAATTATATTTACATTTATACAATGTAAATTATATTTAACGTGTCGTGTAAATAATGAGTAATCTACATGGATCGTTCATATATCGTCAGAAATGTCAGAAATTTATGTTTTGTTCGCATATTTATTTTGAATTACTATTTTTTGAGCACAACTTTTAGGACGCTAGGAAAAATTAACAAATGGTTTTAATGAGTTTGATTTTATACTTATGGAAAAAATTAACATTATGTGCATATTTTGCAACCGTGAACTAAATATGCTTTTGCCGTTTAAAAACTCTTAAATAAGGGTAAACATTATTATTTAATATAATGTTTCTATATATTAGTATATCATGTATTTTTTATGTCACTACATATAATAAATAAATTTATAACTGAAATCTAATCTAATCTAGTCTAGAACTCCTTTTTATTCTTGTACGACTATTTGCACAAATACAGTTTAAATAAATTAATCAATTGATCAATCAATCATTCAATTTACAATAATTTATATTGATTACATTGTCCGCCTGAAAAAGGTTTATGTGAACATAAATATTAACTATAAACAATACGCAAACGATCCATGTCATATGTAATCGTGAAACTGCACGCAGGTCTGATTAACTTTTAAAAAATCATTAATCATCGACCAAACGAATGCACCATCTTATCATGCATCTCCTATACATCATGGAATTAATCGAAATTTGCAAGACGCGGATTAACTTCAATCTCGGTTCTAAGAATTAAAGAAACACGAAGTAAATTAAGCCGAGATTAAACATAATTAACTTTTTACATTAATTAACTTTTACATTAATAATTCATAAGAGATGGAAGATTGGCGCGAGAAATCGCCTCGTGCGCCCTCGCGCCGGCTCAAGTCGTTCCCCAATCTCCGCTTCGCGTGTCTCAACGCCATCCTGATAAAACGCGCTTATGAATATGCCATTACATTACATCGCACACTCGCTCCGACTTCTCCAGAGCGGCGTTACTCCATGGCGCGTGGCGTGCCGTCCTCGTCCCCGTCCCCCCGCTCCCGTGTGCCCCCGCATCGTGCCGCCGATCGAAGCCTTTTTGTTTTCGCGCAAGCTGGACATGTCAAAGATGACGACGGCAGGGATGGTGGTGGTGATGGTGGTGGTGGCATCGTCCTCGGTCTGACGCGCGATCGGGGAAGGAGATTGAGGATTGTGTCGCATGAGATCGGTGGCTAAATTGCCGCGGGCGCCTTAGCGAGTCGCTGCGAATTTACTGATAATTGATATGAGCCGTACGAATAACTACAGCATGGTATCTCGCAGGTGAGAGATCCCGTTTTCGCCGCGTCGCCGATCCCCGGGTTTCAGCGTCTCCGGCATATCTCCGTGGAAAGCGGAGCCGCGGAAAGCTCCTTGCGAGCGTGAGCGCGAGCGCGCGCGCGCGCGTGTTCAAGATCCGCGCGATCCGCGACCTTCGGTCACGGACGCGCGCGGACGATTGACACATCCACCTGTGATTCCGCGGCCTCAAATGCCGTCCTTCTCGTGACGTGACGGCGCGGGGCCGTCACTCTCACGTTCGCGCGCGACGCGCACTCGTGCTCGTATGTTAATCGCCGCGAGCGAGGAGCGTCGTCGATCCGCGCGTGTTTCGCGCGCGTGCGAGTGTCACCGGAGGAGACCCCCGCGCGATCGTCACCACCTGGCCGTGCAGGGTGCGGCATTTGTGCGGCTTGTTACCATTTTTGGTATGACGCTCTCCTCTCGCTCTCCGGCGATCGACACCGCCGCTGTCGAGACCGCTCGACCGCATTTATGCATTAATCCCGCATTCTTGCTGTTATTGCTCGCTTGCTAATCGAGAGCCGAGTGGCCAAGGCCTTTGCCAAGAATCCTAGTAATGTTTTCAAATGTGGAAAAAAAATAATATTGACTAAGTAAAGCGTATCTGGCCTTTGATATGTATAGATAATTGATTGACCGAATAGATAGATTGAATAGATAGATAATTGGGCGATTAATTGAGAGTTTCAAGTTGCGTGTGATACAAATGATATTAATGTATGATGACGTTCCGCTTGCAGGTGGTTTCACCCGAATATCACGGGTTTAGAGGCGGAACGGTTGTTGATGGAAAGAGGAGTTGACAGCTCGTTTTTAGCACGACCCAGTTCTTCAAATCCCGGTGACTTCACGCTGTCCGTCAGGTGATTACGGAATTATATACACGTTTGAGCTATATCGCTACATACATTAATTGCAGACCATATACGAATGTAATAGAATGTAATAATACGTTGGATACCTCTGTTTCAGACGAAATGGCGAAGTGACTCATATTAAAATAAAAAACGCAGGGGACTTCTATGATCTTTATGGCGGTGAAAAGTTCGCCACGCTTTCAGAATTGGTGCAGTTTTACATGGAAAACGGCGGACAATTACGCGAAAAGAACGGTGAAATTATCGAGCTTAAGATTCCTCTCAACTGCGCTGATCCTACGACCGAAAGGTACACAGATCGTGATTCTGCACGAGACATTTTTTAAATATAATATTTGCATAATATTTATCCTTTTAAAACGCTTGACACAGCTATTCCTTGTTAATGCTACCTTAAATGTATAGCGTGTAGTGATGGTAAATATAATTGAAGGTGGTTCCATGGGCACTTGTCGGCAAAAGAAGCGGAGCGATTAATGTTGGAACGTGGGAAAAATGGATCTTTCTTGGTGCGTGAGTCTCAAAGCAAACCCGGTGATTTTGTGCTGTCGGTACGCACCGATGATCGTGTCACACACGTTATGATACGATCTCAGGTTAGGCTAAGTTATATGTATTAATATTTTATATACAGCTTCTGATATATATCCAAGATAAATATACAGGACAGTAACAATGGTACGATTGGTGAATCTTTATGAAAAAATAATTTGAAAATATAGAGAACGAAATTTTTGTTGTAGCAGCTTTTCTGTCGAGCAAGTTCTTGAATGTTGGAAAATTAATAACATGTTTTTTCATATTAAAATATTTTATTTGGCTATATCACAATGCAAGTCAAATATAAGAAACTAATTAATATTGCAGGATAACAAATACGACGTGGGTGGTGGTCACAAGTTTGATAGCCTTAGTGATTTAATAGAGCATTATAAACGAAATCCAATGGTTGAAACAAGTGGAAGCGTCGTCCATCTTCGGTAAGGCTCTTATATCATATTCTATGTTACTCTTATAAAATACAAACTTTTAATGCAGCATATCTTGTAAATACTATCGATTACTTACAGGCAACCGTTCAATGCAACGCGCATTAATGCCAGTAGTATCGAAAGCAGAGTTAGACAATTACACAAAGAAAACGGTTGTTCCAATGGTTGGCTATGTTGGAATGGTACTAGCGGAAGCAGCGAGGATGGAGTGGGTAAAGGCAAAGGAAAGGCTGGTTTTTGGGAAGAATTCGAGTCGCTGCAGCAGCAGGAGTGCCGGCATATGTTTTCAAGAAAGGAAGGTTTACGTCCAGAAAATCGTGCCAAGAATCGTTATAAGAACATTTTACCATTTGACCATACTCGGGTACGACTAAAAAATGTGGACTCTGATACTCCTGGAGCCGATTATATTAACGCTAATTACATAAGGGTAATATTTTTTTTATTAATATCTCCGATATATTTGGGTGTCTCAAAAATTTAAAGTATTATTAAAAAATTTCCTTAGCAAAGATGTTAAGCAAATTCATAATTTATTGCAATTTCTCAAATTTTACAACATAGAATATGTATTTAAGAGATACAACCATTAAATTGAAGATTAATTAAAATTCGAACCGAATATGATTTTGTTATCTATCTTTCTTAAAGTTCAGTTTGCTCATCTCTGATCATCAGTTACTTGAAAATTATAGTTATCTTGTTATTTTCATTCAAAAATCGATTCTAAATTGACCAAAAAATCTGAAAGAATATTCAGTAATCTTGAGATATCTTGCATAATGTTACTTGTATCAATTATACAACAAAGTCGTTTTGTAGAACAAAGAAGGCGATGAAACAAACACTAGCGTTGACAGTGGTGGTGACGATCCGTCATTTGGCAAATGTTACATAGCCACACAAGGTTGCCTTCCAAATACCATACAAGATTTCTGGCATATGGTCTACCAGGAGAATACTCGTGTGATTGTTATGACCACCAAGGAAATAGAGAGGGGAAAGGTACGTGAACCCTCTGAACGCTGTTACAGATAGAAAGCTAATTTTTGACACGTTATTCTCTTCTTTTCTAGAATAAGTGCGCACGTTATTGGCCGGAAGAAGGGGAAACTTCCGAATTCGGCGAATGGAAAGTGCGTGCTGTAGCTCGAACTTCGACCGCTGATTATACTCTGCGCGAGTTTCTCTTGCAAGGAACCAAATCGGAGTTTTCTGAGTCCAGGAGAATTTATCATTACCACTTTCAAGTAATGTATCTAATATATATACATATATATTTTTTTTTAACACTGAATTGACATATATTCTATATAATGAATTATATATAATGAGAGTAGAAATAAATTTCTGTATTTAATTTACAGGCATGGCCTGATCATGGCGTTCCATCAGATCCTGGTTGCGTATTGAACTTTTTACACGATGTAAACGCTAGGCAAGAATCAATTGCTGCATCTTTGGCTGCGAAGGAAAAGGATCAGGAAAAGGATGAACCATGCATAGGGCCAATTCTCGTCCATTGTAGTGCTGGAATTGGCAGGACCGGCACATTTATCGTTATTGACATGATTTTAGATCAAATTAAACGTCATGGTAAGTATAGAAACAGTTGATAAACGATTAAGCATCTTGCTGATAATTGAAGTCGCTAAATATACTAACGTCATATAATAACACCAATTGTACATAACAATTTATCTTTTTATGATTCATTATGAAATGATATTTTTATTAATTTATTTTTACCTTTAATATATATTATTAATGTGTACTTGATTTTTTAAGGACTGGACTGTGAAATTGACATTCAACGCACGGTACAGCGAGTACGTGCGCGAAGATCAGGAATGGTTCAGACGGAGGCGCAATATAAATTCTGCTATTTGGCTGTCCTTCATTACATCGAGACTGTATCTCAACGGATGCAAGCGGAACAGGTACTATAGTTCAATATCGTGTAATGATGTTATCAGACAACTGATTTACTTTCATATTAATTGATTTGTGTGTGTTTCTTTACAGAAATCACTTCAGTTAGGCAGAGAATACACCAACATTCGTTACAAAAGCGAAACGAACGCTTCCACTAATGCTGTTGTGGCCGAAACCTCCACTCCCACTTGTACGCCAACAGTCCCTCCAACACCAGCACCCACTCACCATAATTTGAGGCCAAAGTAATTTTTCTTAGGCACAATCGGTTTCGCGTACATTCGGGAAAGCAAAGAAGAGGCTTGGTTATTCTTTTGCTCTCTCTTTCTCTTTCTATTCTCTATTTCTCTGTTATTGTAGGTAATATTACGAGAAGAACTATGCGACATACCCTGACATTCGCAGAAGTTTATTCATCATCAAGAATTCAGTTTCGTCTCTCTTGTTAAATATTCTTTTTATCGACTGCATACTTACGATTTATTTTTTAAGTAATTGGATTGTGAATATTTACATATACACAGATATATATATTATATATATAAATATAGAAAGAAAAAAGAGCTGTATAATTTATCGATCTATAGCCTGTTATCTTCATGAAAATGAATTACTACAAATATACTAAATATTTGCTGGCATATTTTTTATTTCCTTTGCTTATCTGTTCTATGCCATGTATAAAGTCTTGACAAGACAATAATAAAATGATATTGAAGACTCGACTTTATTTAACGGAAATTTAAACTTTTCGTAAGTGGAGTAAATTTATCTAGCGAAGATTCGAAGCTCTAGTTGAGATTTAAAGCCAAGGAAAATCCGAATCCATATTTTGTGGGGATTTAAATTTAGTAAACGCTCAGATCCACTTGATGAAGATATGAATCAGGGTTGTGCTATAAATGTCAAGATTATATCTACAGGGATATTTTATGTATCGTCTGTGTGATGTTCGCGGTATCGCAGATTTTTTTTATGTAGACAATGTAAACTATTACAAATTACAATACAAAAAAGAGTAATTATGAAATGGTTAACATATCTGCTTTTGATATTAACTATAAAGACATTTAAATGTTATGAATTCGAAAGTTGCAATAAATGATATTCTATATGTATCAAATTCTAAATATATAAATATTCTAAAACATAAGTACTTTGCTTCCCCCGTCTTATAAGTCGACATAAAACGAGATACTGATTTTGTTTCTGGACTAGTTTAAATGATACATTTTATTTCTATATTAAAAATTTATTTGTTTTGTGTTCAAAATATATTTTAGCTACAGTAATAATATAGTGATAATATGAATATATTTTTGCAGATTCTTCGAATCATAACAGGAAATTCGTGATTTTAATAGAATCGATTATATGTTAATAATTAATATTGAAGTTGTATAATATTGCTTAGTATCATCGACAATTATTGCGAAGCAAAACGCTGTTTCGAAAATTTGACGTGGAATTTTTTAAATATGATCTGAAATCGTAGGAAAAAAGATCTACGGGGAAGGCCGTGTCTTCTAAACCGGATGATTCAATGGGCGCATGTGCGCATCGCGAAAGAGGTGATGGTTTGTACTGTTCTCTGGAGAACTGTGCTTCGAACGTTGCGTCTTCCCCGAGATTACTTCCTCGTACACTTCAAGTTATATTTATAGTAATAAACATTATATATTTGAATTTTTTTAACATAAAAATGTGTGAATTAAATTTCGGCGACGGTATTGCGAATGTGTGTCATGTATATTTAACGTGAACGACGTGAAAGATAGTTTTATTTAATTTATTTATCGTAAGAAATACTCGCAAATCACAAGAAGAACTTTTAATTACCAGCTATGGCAAAGTTCTTGGCAACCATTAAGGCGATAATCACGCGCTTGGTATTCGCATCCCACGGTTTCATCGCTATCTGGCAGGTGACAACATTCAAGAAAAATCCGTATTTCTGGTACCTGAGTTGTCCTATCTTGTTGCTGTTCTTCGAGGGTATTTTCACCCTCACTATAAAGGAAAATCAAGAATGGAAATGGTATGTCAAACTGCAGTTGCAAATATAATTTTTATGCTTTGAAAAAATTGTTTATGTAAGAATAATGAAATTAAGAAAGATTCAATTTCTATGACTTTCCAAAAAATAGAAAAGGTAAAGTAACATATAGTTTGATTTTTTAAACAAATTTTACAATACAGTTTTAATGTATAAAGTTTTAAAATTAATTATTTATTTATAATTTACAACTACATGGATTATTTCAGCAGTAATATGAATGGGTGTATTAAAGTTAATATATGGTTTAGTCACATTATATTAATATATAAAATATTATACAAAGTTTCTCTCTATATTTTCTATGCTTTTATATTTAATTCTCATTTACGAACTATTACAATTGTTAATTGGATAGCTAAAGTAAATATTTACGAGATAATTATTTCATGCATTACAAAAGGAACAAGAAGCTTAGACAAAAATAATATATTTTATAGTGTTAATATTATTATATAGAATAATTTACATTAAAAATTTAAAAACTGTAAAATATATAATTTAATATTATTAATTTAGTTACTTTGTGCAATAATTGTTTTAAAAAATACATTAATAGATGACTGAACGCAAATATATGCGACTGCAAAAGTAAAATATAAAGATTATACATTGTTATCTCCTCTCTTGTCGTATTGTTATACCTGATTATCATTTTATCTCTAACAGTTATTAGTTGTATGGAAAACATAAGTATACGTAGAGGTAATATTGCGTTAGATACAGTATCATTCATTGCGAAAATCAGCGTAAAAGGGATTCCTCGGAAAGGGTGTGTGTTGTGAGACCGTCTCTCAGTTTGACAGACGGAAATTGAAGCATTAGTAACATGAGCCAACAAGTTAGAATCCACTTTGTTCGGGGCACGAGCGGTCGTATCAAAAATTATTGACATCTGCGAAAAAGGGAACTCGTGACCCGATTCCGTTTACCTGACTCATCGATCAATCGAATTAGATGTAGCGCGGAATACCGTCTCACAGCGCATATTTGCTCTCGAAAATCCTGAGGAAGAGAATGTGAACAATGAGTAATAATAAAAGAATGAAATAAACAATATAATAAAATATAAAAAATAATATAATATAAGATTTACAAGTGAAAAACACGAGATGAAAGGAATCTCGATAGTTTAAGAAGATTTTTGTTATTTAGTTTTATCATTGCAGCCTGAAATGTAGTGCGTTAAGAGTTTGTTATTTACTATACAATTTTTATATTTCTAGGTTTTGCCCGTCCGTATTTTTATATCTCAGTAGCGTGGTGCCTGCAATATGGTTGCTAGAACTGGATAAAGTAGACAGGAGACTGAAATCTCGCGGGTCGAACATCAATATATCCGAGAATTTCGATCTATCCAATCTGGCAGCAGGTGATTTAAAGCATCTGGAAGAAGCTCTAGGCGTGCGTGTAATTTTTAATCTTATCTCTTTTTTATAAAATTTATGAAAACTAATAAAAATAATAATTAGCAGGGATAATTTTATTAAAATTTATTAATTAAGTCAAGGTCTTGTTTCGTACCATCCAGGTTGATATCCGATTACCGGACCTAAAAATTTCTACAGAAACATGGGTCACTCTGATCGAACAATTCTTAATGCTGATTCTGATAATCGGCCGGTGGATGTTGCCGAAAGGTGATCTGACTCGAGATCAATTGAGCCAGCTGCTGTTGGTCTACATTGGTACCGCGGCCGACATCATCGAGTTCTTCGATTCCTTCAAGGAGGACAGGATAGCGAGGGAGCCCGTACTCGTATACCTGACCTTGGGCATTTGGGCATGGTCCCTGATGCAGTTCACGGTTGTGCTGACCGCCACCAAGTCGAGGAAGTCGCGATTGTCGTCCGGCGTGGCCAGGAAGAAAGTCCGGACGGAAACCAGTTGCTGCAGCATCGACGTATGGGGAATCGCTCTCAACATGCTTCTTCAAGTATGTCCACGAATAATATATGTAAAATACATCTCAAAGACATCAGAGATATTTGTATTAACTCTAGACCTATTCACGCATTGGTCTCATTCGTGACCTATCTTCAGTAATAAATAAAAAGTAACATAGAGACTGTTCAAAATTATAAAACGTCGTTTTGTAACATCTGTTATTTTTCTGAAGTAATTTTTTTATTAGCACCTTAATAACCAGTTATTAAAAATTTTTTTAAATGGTAAAAATATTTTTGATGAAGTTACGATATAAACATAATGTTAAATTACGGTGGATTATTGACGAATCTAAAAAAAATATCTCTTTCTTATTGTCTTAGAATTAATTCGATTTAATAAACGATATATATAATATGTATGATATTAGTGATATTGATATTGATATTGATATTTTGCAGGACGGACCGTTTTTGGCATTTCGTTTGATATTGATATTTCATTATCAGATAGTCAGTTATATGAATATATTCTTTACATGCAAGAACACATTGGTGATACTGCTACAATTGTACCGACTTTACGTAGTACAAACCGAGAGTAAGAGCAAACGGAATAAGAAATATAGTAAAATGGATGTGTCGAACATCAGTATCATTTCTCGAGGTGACATGTACAAAGATGTAAGAATGAGAAATTCGCGAGATAACAATAGGCATAGGAATCGACGTGATAAGGACGTAGAAGCAAATTATAGTGAGACCGAAGACTCGGGAGAAGATATTGATAAATTCGATTCGTCCCCAAGAACTGTCGCTCGTTCCAAACGGTTAGCATTTTAACTACTTTTAAAGTAAAAATAATTAAGTTACAAAAACGAAGGAAAGAATTTATTTTTTAAGAGCAAATACTTATTTCTCAAAATTAAGAATTATTTTCAAGAAAACATCTTTTTCTTTATTTTTTGTATTTATTTTAGTTTTTAAATGAAATTAATCTAATTTTTTAACAATAATTAAAAAATAATCAGAATTAATAATTAAATTTTTTTTTATTTTACACAAGGCGCACTAAATTACATTTCTCTTATGTTTTATCGTTATACAAAAAATTCCTTTATCCAGCAGAGTATTAATTTATGAAAAAATTTTCTTTTAGAAGTAGCTATTATAAATTTTGTTTAATATAAAATAGAAAATTAAAAAGACTAGGGCAAATTTTGTCTATAAAAATATTATACAAGTATTTTATTGGTATTTTACATATATTGAATGAATTATTCTAGAAAGACTCGCCAAGACACTGGATACTCAACGTCGAGCTCTCGTAATTCTAGCAAACACGACAGGTTGCACAAGCGTGAAGAAAAGAAAAAATCGCGTAGAGAGGAAACTAGACGTGGCACGTCTGACGAGAGGCATAAAAGAAGAGGGGGCAGAAAGTCTTCTGAGAAAAACGAAAGGAAGTCGACAAAAACTAAGAACGACGATGACTCCGATAAGAGCTCCAATCGAAAGTTTGATAGTGAGAACGAGTCTTTCAGCGACGAGCTGACTGAAAGTAAAGTTATCAGCGAACGCAGCGAATCGGAATCCGATAGAAAGAGGTAAACATATAATATTTTAAATTCAAGTTAAAATTAAGTTACTTGTACGTATTACATTTTATATTTGAATGTTAAACACAAAAATCGGGAATTAAGTACAAAATTAGCACGTAAGAAGCACGTAATTCTAACACAAGTACAATTTCGAATTTTTTTTGGAGGGAATACTAGCTTCACAAAGATATAATTTTCCATTATTTACAATTATTTACAGTGCCCGTAAATATACGCATCGAAAGCGGAGACAAGACAGAGATTGACAACGGAATTTGGACATCGTGGCATTATTACTTATTTATTCTGCAATTCTAGTCACTTACATCCTTTTGATACAGGCTGGAATTAACGACGGCGTGACATTAATCACAAAAACGAAACGTTTTCAACGTAGAGACTAACATGAGTAATATTTGTAAAGTCAAACGAACTTCCATGTATTTATAATGCGTGTATATATACGCACGTGCGCATGTCTGTAGCTATTTAATAATTTCCAAATAGTAAAACATAGATGTTTATTTATGTAAATTGATTTTGGCGTTTTAGAACGTTTTAAAATTTTGATCCGATTTAAAGAGAAAAAATATATTATCTAGATGTGACGACTAGAAAAATATAATTATTAGTTTACGCATTTTATGTTTTGTAGGTGTCATTAATACTTTGTCGATAATGGCTGCTGATTAAAAATTTCAAAGGCGTATCTTTTATAATATCCATATCTCTGTATATGTTCTTCGGGTAAAATAAACCAAAGGAATACGCGATTTATTATAAACTATTAACCCATAAAATTATCTTCATAAAACTGTTTTAATGCGATAGACACATAACTTTGAACTTAACGATATCGTATACAATAAACAAAATACTGTTTTATCTTCAATTTCTTACACGACAGAATTATTGCAAGTCTCTAGCCATTGAATGCTCTGTTTGCTGTCGAGAGTGTCGATATAACTTGACAGATCGTCCTGATGAACCCCGTTGGCGGCGCAATATAAGATCGCCGTGTTCTCCAAAAGCTCTTGCAACGACCCCGTTTCATCTTTAGAATATTCCGATTTCTTTTCTTTCGGCTTCACATCAACCATGATAACTTCGTGCTCATTCGGATCCTTGCGAGAGTCAATCGAATTCTTTCTTATATAATTCAGCGTGCCCAGGTTCACTTGTTCCCTCAAAGGAACTTTGTGACTCTCTGATGTCGAAGGGCCCTTCCAAGCGTTTTGATTGCCACCGGCAACCTGACCGTCCTTGGTCTTCTCCAGCATCAGATGAAGCCTCTTCCACTTTCCCTGCGGGAAATCAAAACTCGTATTCGAATTGGATACGAATTGTTGAGTCTCCTCAGCCGTCGTACTCTTCTGCCAGAGGCTCTTCGGCAAACTTTTCACGCTCGGATTCGTCAAGCTCGTCTTCGTATCTCTCGAGCTGTAAGTTTGGCTCTGCATGGACTGCGTAGGCTTTCTCGTGCCTTTGTTGTATTCCGATAAGATTCTAGCGATCTCCGAAGTTTCGTTGGTGCACCACGCGAGGTTCTTGCCGGAACTCGTCATGGATATTCTACCGTCTGACTCCCTGCTAATTTTCATCTTGTGATCGAGACTCTTGTTTTCGCGCGCCTCTTTCACGACCTGGACGGTCTTCTTGTTGTCCAACTGATTCTCGAGGAAGGTCCTCTTCGTTGTATATTCCTGCGTATTCGTGGCGCACCTCTTTAAGGTGCGCACGTTGTTATTCACTGGCGATTCCTCGCATTTCGAAACCGGCTCTTTGGCATACATCAGCTTTTTGTAGATCGACGACATCCCCGTCAGCGTCTCGTCGCCGGACGCATCTTCCAACTTGGCCGAGTTGAATATATTCCTTGCGATTGCTGTACAAGCATCGCCGCTCGTGGATCTCGCGGCCGAACTTCTCAACAAGATTAGAGAGCTGTTTGGAGCGCCTCGAATAATCTGCTTCAAATTCATCCTGATCGTTCCTCCATTCTGCGAAGCGGTCCTCGAGCTGTTGAAGTCCGGGGTCGATTTCTGCGCTTCTGGTAAATACGTTGTTGAAGATGACGGAAAAGTCGAGGTGACTTTCTGATCGCTCGTGCTATTGGCGGTGCTTTTATTTTGTATACTCTGCGCCATGGCGATCGCATAAGCTTCCAACAATTTTGTTTCTTCCGCAAGCTTAGTGACATTCTCCGAAGGAATTGCGACGTTACCTTTGACGTCCGTTGGCTCCTTCGCCAATTCTAAAGAGCTCGTCTTGGCGGAAATCGTCACCTTCGTCATCTTTTCTTCCACAGCTTGCCTGTAAACTGGCGTCATAACTTGCGAACAATAACCGAACACGCAATGAAGACTTTCGTGCATGCATGTCTCAAAGGACTTGTTGTTCACGGAGAGATACGTATTCCATGGATCTTTGGTATTCGATGAACGTTTGCTTTTCATTCTCGCCTTTCCCTTGGACTTCTTCTCGGCCGAAGAGACCCGATCGCAATGCGGATCGACAGAGACCACCTCGATATCAGGCTCGTTGATGATCTCGCAATAAGATAATCCATCGAGGCTGGTGAAGTATCTTCCTAAATACTCCACTGCTAAACCAGCCTGGAAACATAATCGTATGAAGAATGTCTTAAGATCATTCAGATTCTTTCTTTCATAAAATTGGAGAGAGTTGATCTTTTTCTTTTTTTTTTTTAGTAAAAATTATTAAGAAATTTTATTATTTCTAAGTTTTTCAAAAAATAGAATTTTAACACTTTCAAAAAATGTGTATCTTTTTAGAATGAAAAATTCTACTAAAATAAATTTCAAATCAGTGTTACCTAAAACTTATAGAGTGCAGTTACTGAAGTATAATAATTACAGTTGCCTATTCGCTCCTTTGACATTTAATTAAAGTGCGCAAATATATTTTATTTTAATTCATTAACTGCTATAGATAATACAAGATTATATAGATATTATATTGTATAGAAAGATAATTTTACTTGAGGATGGTAGACCGGTCTCTCATGCATTCCATGCACGGGCCACTCCTTCCACTCCGTCTCATCTTTTTTGGTAGGTGCTTGATAAGTAGCACCTACAGTATACATCTTTCGAGTAACAGATCTGGTATTCATGTACGGCATCGTGGACGATCTTACGCGCTTCCCGAGTTCATAATTCGAATAAAACTCTTTCTTGTTGGCCAGCAGTCGTTGTTTCGGTCGCGAAAAATCCTTATCAATATTTCTCTTAGACACTCGCATGGGATTTCGTCTCACCTCCATCGTTTTGAGACTGAACAATGAAACAAAGATATCACAAAATTTGAAAAAAACTATTCTAAACAGATTATTATCTTTTTTCGGAATATATATGTGTAGTGAATGAAATTGAAATGAATTATGAAATTAGAATTATTCATATTCCTTATTTTATATTATATTTTGTGTGACATAAAATTTAAATAACAAGTTTCGATATACAAAAATCTATCATTTTTGCATATATAAGTTTATCATCGATTAAAAGTTATTTTTTAGGCTTATAAACACATTTATATATAAAATAATTGTATACAAGTTTATATACATGCATAAATAATTTTTAATTTGTATGTTATATATAATATATAATTTATATATGCAAATATATAAATTATATCATACGTAATTAATTAATTCGAATTTTATTTGGCAAATATAATAAACTTTTTAGCACAAGTCTATTACGTAAGCGTCTTTTAATATTGCTCACGTTTTGTTCCTGAGTGCTCGTGAAATTCCTTTCATTTTAACATCCGTACAGCCAGAAGTCGAGCTACTACTGTTACTCGTCTCCGTCAATTCCCTATAATCGCTGTCTTCCATATCCGACTTCGGTTTTTGCCGTATCACGATCGTGTCTGGCGGCAGTTTCTGCAGAATTTCCATATTTTCATAATCCACTGCGTTGCTTTGCGAATTTGCACCCTCGCGTTCTGCCATCTCTCCGAATTGCCTCCGTAGGATCATCTTGGAGTCATTGTCACTTAACTCGATCACGCGACGATTTACATTATTGATCCTGCCGCGATCGCTGGCTCGGGTCTGTTCCAGCAGGATCATCTCCGCATTTCTGTCGTATATTTTCTCTCGATTCATTAACGCCGAACTTGCAATTAAATCGAGACAGGAAACGTATCTCCTGGTGACATCTTCGTTTCGATCTTCGCCGATCGACGAGTCGATCTTCGTGGGTGGTTCTTTAATTTCTTGGATCTTAAAAGAACGCTGCTCGGATAATGCATACGAGTTCTTCGGCAGTACCTCCATTAATCTAAATCACTTTTTTTATATTTATTTTGTATTACATTCAGTTTAGTCTACGTATGTATATGTTCTAATCTAAATGCTTAGCAAAATCTCCTTTTCACGAAATATTTAGTAAGCGCGGCAAATTATGTGAAAACCCATACGAAACAATAAGATTTACAGATCTTATTTTGCGCCGAAAGCACTGGAGAGTTGGAAGGATCTCGCATAAATAATTGAAAACGTATAAAACTGTGTAATTGAAAAATTTCGCGAATATATTTTTGAGACATCTACTCATGTGTATTTTCTTTATTTCGCGCAATTTGTCGATTTTTTTTTAACACCGGCACTTTTGTGAAATGACAAATTCCATCGAGTGCCTACGACGTATGGGTGTGCGTGTTGCGTGTTTTCTTTTATAGAGCTGTGTTCTAATATAAATACCGCACATAATATCGTATCCTTGAATTTTAAAAAATATATAAATGTCTATGACACAAACTTTTTATTTTTCTGATATTTAATTATACTGTAACTTTAAGTAATTTTTTTTTTCGTTTTATAATCTAAGGCAAATCAGCAAATTATTGTAAAATAAACTTATTCAATTTACATTAACTACCTTTCTAACTACGCTGTATTTAGAATGAGAATTGTATCTTTGTGGACATGTAAACGCGCGAGAGAAAAGTAAACGTGAAGTGTAAAATAATCTTAAAAAATGCAAATTAGGGGAAAAAACGTACCTTGTGATTTTATTTACTCCTCTTCGTAGACAGACACTTCGGCCAACTTACAACGGAAATCCGCTGTTAAATTTATCGACGTCTTTTACCGTAAACGTTTTTCTTCTTTTGTTATAAGAGGAAATATGGAGTTCGCGTACTTTGAAGGCAAGTTGGTGAATTCCTGAGGGACTCCTAAATATTTATTGGCCGTTGGATAAAATTATAAACAATATCCGGACCAAATAAAACGATCGGTATCAATCGGGAAATAGTAAGGAGTAGCAGCTCCGGAGACGTAGACGGTGGAATGAAAGATATTTTCGTAAAACAAAGCACTGATCGGCTGTCACGACAGTGTCGCTTCTCAAGTGTTTTCATCGCGTCGGTCGGTCGTTTGCGCGCACCCATAGATCTGACAAATCCATTGGACGACAAGAACTGACAGTCGAAGGCTCTGGCAACTGGAAAGCGTGGGGTAACGGCTGCTTCATCATTTCAAATAAAAGCGCCGTATAAACTTTGCATTATTATACATTCTAAATAGTACATAATTTCCAAATCGTCGTTGAGGATACATACAGCCAGTCTCGAGTAGCATCGATTTTATTTCAAAGCAAATACTAAATTATACTAACTATAGTTCTTTTACATGTACATACATGTAGATATTGAATACAATATTCGTCGCTCGTATTGCACATCATGAACTAAAACCGAGATCGCGGAAAAGTCTTTAGCATTTTCCCTTTTTTTCTCTCCCCTTCCCTATCTCAGCATTAAAGGTATTTACAAAGAAAAGAAGAGTCGCCGAAATGTTTTTTGTTACGAGCACTCAATTCATATTGTCGGTTGTCAGCGCGAGGGTGGTGAGCACAGATCGACGGTTTGGGTTTACTCCCAAATTTTCCCAATTTATCCAAGACAAGCGTGCCGTCAGATCTGCAATAATGGTCACGATATAATTAACGCATCGAGAAATCGTAAACGTTACGTGTGGTTTGTAATTCAAACGATATTCATAAGATTGATTTTAAACATGTAGTGATATTTGTCCTACTAAATTTTCAAGAGAGAGCTGTACATTGCCAACTCTTGAAGAAGTAATCATCTTCTTCAAAGTAACTTCTTTTCGAACCCGAAAGCGATATATTTAGTTTCCAAGTAAAGGTACTCTGCAGAAGACAATATTCAACTTGTTGAGCATTCAATATTAAATTACACTCCTCTAATTTTTTAATAGAATCCTCCAATCGTAATATTACTGTTTTAATATTAAGTTTTTATAATGCAAGACACAAAGACGGAATCTATATTTTTTTTATTAATTGAAAGATAATTTTTATAATTTTTGACCTGCACACATCATTATCTCAATTATCTGATTGATAGAATTTCTCTGAAATATGTATACGAGATGCATACCGAGACGTTACTTATGACTTTTATGCTTATGATCGATTCTTAGCGCGTCATGTTATTTTTCAAATAATCGAGATAATTACGAAAGTACAGACATACCGCTCGTGTTCCATTCGGCGCGCTCGCCGTTTATCTCACCCCTAAGGCACCTCTCGACGTAAGTCAAAGGGTCGAGCCTCGCCGCTAGAACCTCGCGCAAGAGCGCAATGTACGCTATGGCCAGGCGCAAGGTATCGATCTTCGACAGTCTCTTTTCGTAAGGAAAGGTCGGCACGTGGACCCGGAGCTCGTCGAAAGCCGAGTTGATGCTGCTAAAAATTGCAATCACACTAACAATCCGCTCGTGCGTATCTTAGGAGGGAAATATAAAGCAGAGAAAGAGATTTTACACAATTATAAACATCTTAGAATAAAACATTACAACTGCGAATCAATTTTGTCATTAACGCAAAATATTAATAATATAACGGTTAACGTGTAAACAACTGATTTCTTTAGCAAGCGACGGTCCGCAAATGCAAGGCTTTAGTTTTATTTTATTATTGGTTTAAAACAATTTTTATAATTATTTTACGCTATATTTTTGGTACATACAATTATCTTTTTTGAAATAAACTTACAGTGCGTTTTACATTTATATAATGTATAATTTCGCTGATATTATCTCAAAAATTAAATCTCTGCACATAGACTACTCATAAAATCTGTTCCAATAGATTAAAATTTATTGCTAATTACTTTTTGAAAATTCCTTACCTCAGCATACGTTTTCTTTCACGAATATTAGCTGCGTGTCTTTGAATTCTATAAGGACTACCATTTGGATAATAACCCTCTTCTACGCCGTTCATTTCTGTGTCATGATCTGAACAAAAAAATTTATATAATGAAACGTTAATCAAATAACTGCATTATTATAATTATTTAGCATTCATTACCTGGCGTTGAAACTGGCATGTGATAGTGCAAAGGAGAATGTGTATGTGGCGATGTGTGCGTGACGTGTTGCGTGGATCTGCCCGCGTAAACGCATGAGGGTAATTCTGCCAAATCTTCCTCAGTGATATCGCTATTGTGCCCCACGTAATATTGAGTACTGCAAAATTATAATAATGCAAAATTTGTTTGTGCTACTCAGATATTTGATATTTGTGTTTGTATAGAACTGTTAAAAATTTGGTATTCGTATTTTTAAGTAATAATTGAAAATAATGTTTTCATTGTTCATATTTCCTGATGCTAAGTATATCGATATTATTGATACAAATTTTGTATTAATAGTTATAAATTTTATTACAGCTAGTAAAACTCACAATTCGCATTTTTAAAAGATATTTAAAGTAGATTGTTTAGAGATCGATCTTATATTAAAGAGATAAGATTTTAGATTATATTAATAGCTTAGATAATATATGTATACTGTAACATTATATAATATTTAAATTATATATTCATGTAATATAAGTAATATGTTATAAATTCTATTATTTATAATTTTTATCATACTTTATTAGAAAATACTCTGCAATTAAAAATGACTTTTACTTTTATTTAGTATAAATTTTACAATTATCCATGCTAAGGTGCCATTTAATTTTTATTATAGGGAAAAAATAATTATACAAATTTGTTTTAATTAATGCAGAGCTATTTAAATATTGTTTATTTTCTTTGTTTAAATTGTAGTCTAAGTTATCTAATAAACTTTTTTATTATGTAGCAAATAATGGGCACGAGGAAAAATTTTTGTTCCTTGCTAAAGCAATCACATACAAGTAGTGAATTATATACATAAGTGGAAGGAATCACTCATTGTCAGTGTCAGATATAAAATACTTTTAATATAAAATTAAAAAAAAATATCTCATATTGATAAAAATCTCAATTAATTCTTTATTATTAAATTTAATAAGAACAATTTAAATAATAATTCAAATAATGATTTAAATTTTTCTTTCTATCCTACAAATCTTTAGCTATTCGCACGTGGACAGTTCTGTCGATATTATTGATATTTGTTACCGAACGTTAAAAAAAAATCTCAATTAAAAATATTAGAATACTCTCTTTATTACAATTAATTATATAAACATTAATTATTTAGTTATACATTGAATAACGATTCAGAGTTTCTTATTAATGTGATTGATCAACCGAAAGAGAAAGTGAGATAGTACCTGGTACAAGCCACGGTGGAATCTGCAGGTCTTGACGCGGTGCCGACCCGATGGCGGATCCTCTGGCTTCTGTCGTCAAAGTCGTACGAGGGATGATGATTCGCCATAACGCACGTTTTCACAATTTCATTCGTCGTGCGGTATCCCGCGCAAATTGTACTTCACGAATCAACCAACAACCACTAAACGTGGCCTCGACTTCTCTCTTATATATATATTTTTTTAATTTAGTTTTCTTTTTTCAAAAAATTCTGAATTCTTTCATAACACGCTGACTCGCGACGGTCAATTTCTTGATTTCTCTCTTTATCGATCTGGCTACAATTAATCGATTGATTGATCGTGCAAACGGAAGTGTTCGTATACGGTGAATACGCGGATTTCGACTATTGACGATGTCCCCAGGGAGGCCCGCTTTATATATGAAAAGCGTCGGGCTTGCGTGAGGGATGATCGATACCAACCCCTGGGCGGGTTTGCGGCCAATGGCGAGCCGAGACGCGTGTTGGACGTGACTATCAGACGCGCACGGGATTGGCGGGCGGACGCTCCAACGAGGGTTTTATCGGCTGGGGGACGACGGGGCGCAACACCCCCGCACAAATTTTATTCGTCCCCACCCACCGTTACCCCGTCGTCATCTCAACGGCAGACGGCGGAGCGGATTTATTCGCGGGGGAGGAGGGGGCACGGGGAGGGAACGCGGCGAGGGGTGGCGGAACAGTTTTTCAATTTCCCCAAGCACGGATGAAATATTACGAGCGTTCTTTTGATTGAAAATAATTTTCTTTCCTGCTCCTTCGTTCCAAACTTCCTCCCTCCCTCCCCCCCCTCTCTCTCTCTCTCTTTCTCTTGCTCTCGCTCTCTCGCTCATTCACTCTCGCTCTCATATTGATTTGGTGTACATATGTTAATTCTTTTGCGAATATGATATTCTAGCTTTACATATATGTGTTATGATATTTTAATACTACAAAGTATAAAACATGACAAGTAATAAAGTATTAAAATAAATATAAAAAAAAAGATGAAAATTTTATGGTTGATGTAAAAAATCTATATTATATGTATCTATTAATTTTATTTTCAGTAAAATGAACATGCAGTAAAACGACAAATGTGATTTTTTAATATAATTTTGTACAGAGAGTTTTCTGTAACAGTACGTTTGAATAGATTTTTAATTTTTTTTAGAATTTTTATTTTTTATCTTCTCTTTTAGACGGAAAGAGTTAAATGTTTGTGTTAGAAGTTAGATATTTGATACAGATGCTAGCCTGTATATAGCTATCCCATATCTTTGTGAACTTTTCTAAGAATATTCGGGGAAGCTGATAAGCAGAAGAGATTATCACATTTTCTGTACCAGTAATGTACTTTATTACGTTCGGGTAAAAAAAAATATGTTCTCATTGAATTAATATAAATCTACTTTAGTGCATTCTAGTTGAAATCGATATTCATTCTATTGCGAATATTTCTGCTATTTCTGTCTTGTTTGTCAAAAGCTAAACATACAAACATGGAAAGAATGATTAGAAATAATTTTGTTTCACCATCGAAATAATTATGTAAAACACTCAAATCGATTGCTAAAATGTCAAAATTTTTTACAGCATTATCATTATACTTCAGCGACCTGCTATAATTATTCTGATGGTGCAACAAAATTATTTTCAGATCTGTATCCAGCTAAATTTTTAGATACTTCAGCAAAACCGTTCTTTCCGCGAACGCCTTGATTTAAACGAAAAAAATAAATAAATTTGATGATCTGTGCTTGTAAAAACTATTCACGTCGCGCTTATGACAGCCTGAGAAAACGTCGTCTAGGATGATATCTAGAGAATAGAGCCGGGAAACCGAGGTCGACCGGCTCGATGGCGTTGTCTCTTTTAAGGGCGCGAATATTGGCCTCCTCAATAAGTATGAATGGGCCAATATTCAAATGAGCCATGTTTAGTGCACGCGCGACGATAGAAGCGCGGCGGTGCAATTATGCGAGGTGTTAATACGATCACAATGGTGGTTCGCCGGGGTTGTACCAAACCTCCACTACACGCGGACGAGACAAAGTTTTGTCCCCGCTGAAACGAGTTCGGTTTGCGAGAGGGCGATGCCTCGCGGTCGATCCTCGTTGGAGGCATCGCCCGGATTATTATTGACGGGCCTACTGAACGGCCGATCCGCTCATGTATAATTGGGGATTAGAGATCTGTGAAAACCTATCACCGCCACGAGATTGATCTTTCAAAATGCTCCGCATATCCGTTTTACATATTTCTACGGCGAGGAATTCTGCGAAAAACATTCGAAATTAATATGGCAGAGAATTCGAAGTAAAATTAACAAATTATTTTGGACTATCTCTCACACATTTTTAAATGAGGTTTTCAGCATTAGTATAAGGGTGAAAAGTAAATAAGTTACTTTTAATTCTTTTAATTTTCGATAATAGATTAATCATCGACGGATATGATGATTTAAAAAAACGCTCGTATTAACTTTACCTTAATTTGTCTCAATTTAACGAATTTTGATAAAAAAATTTTTTGTTGCGCTCTTTACCGATTCATTTATGCGGAACACACCAGATGCGACTTGAGGGCGTATCGTTTATCGGCCCGCGACTGCTTGGAAGCGTGCCGTTTCGAGTATCACCGTGACAAATTTCAAGTGACCTTTGTATCCCCACAAACCATTATTTATCTCAATTTGTCGCGTTTGCTTAAGGGAAAGCAGACGGGGAGAGGAGGGGTGGTTTCGAGATTTGCCGATGCCTCGCTACCTTTTTCCCTCTACATCGCTCGCACGTGTATATCGTGGACCCGAACGCGGACTGCAATATATCTGTGAATAAGTTAAGCAATAAATAGGCACAGACAACACTTTTATGTTAGATAAGATTTATGTATACGAGTACGTGTGAGTTATTATATCTATTTACATAAAAATTTTGCATGCTTTATTTTATACTAAATTCTTTAATGCGATAGCATTTTACGTAACAAAATTGCAGAAACTATCCTAAAACATACATTTACAACATAATATATTATACTTGCAACTTAACATAAAGTATTAATTATTAAATCTAAGCGTGAACTTGTATAGCTATATATAAAGCACAAACCTTGCAATACTGAAAAAGTAATACAAAAGTATATTTTTTGAAAAAAGAAAGTGATATCAAGGTAATAGAATTCGAAAACAAAGCTATATCATGGGACAATGAAAAGAGATTATCTCGAAGATCAATCGACACATCGCAATTTATATATTATCTAATCGCATATCGCGGAACAGAGAGATCTGTTCCGAAGATCGCAGTTGTCGGAGTCAAATCCACTTCCGATTCGTTTCTTTCTTTGGACAAGAGGCCCGGTTGGAGATCGACGATATCCGAGCAAACATTTAATTCGCGATTACATTATTTTCGAGGGGGCGAGGACCAGCCGACTACCCCGCTCCCCCTGTCAACGCCAATGCATCCCCCTCGGCACGCACACGCGTGTCCGTCGAACGGTTTGGAACGTACTCGAACCACTCTTCGACCCCTGGAATAATAGAGATTTCACGCCGCAGGGCCCACTTCGGTTCTCACAGTAGGGGTCTGGTACGTCGAACGATCTCCTGTTGTCCGATAGTTCGGTTTACGCTCGTGCTCGTGCGAGGACATTTAATCCGCCGGACGGCGAGATCGTGTGCCTCTAAGTATCTGTTTATAGTCCTTGGGGATCAATTTGTTTGCCAAATTATTTATTGGTCAAACGGGCAGACGAGAACGGCGCCTCCACGCTACCGCGAATTTGTTTGATCTGCGATTGGGAGTGCGGTTTGGGAAAAACAAACATCGCGATCCCTGTGCATTCTGCATTTTTTATTTTTATCTGTTGGACCGCGACGTATTGAACCTTTAAATCGTGTACGCGGTGGGAAATATGGTCAGTCATTATTTCTTTTTGTTCTATTATAGTCTGGGGAATTTTTGATAGCATCTTATATGTTAATTTTAATATTAGTAAAAATTTACATGAATTAACGTTGCACAATTTCAAAATTTTAAAATTTTCTAAGTTTCGCAATTTCTTGGAATCAGATTTTAAATTCTTAATATTCTTTTATTTTTCGCATCTAAAGAGAAAAAGAGAGAGAGAATAAAATACATTTAAATAAGTTCTATTCGTATTTAGCGTTTTGATAAAGATGACAAGTTAAAGATAAAAGATAATCTAAAATTCAAAAATCTAATTCAACTCCTGGAAATTAGACATTTAATTCTAAACAAAATTTACTTTTTGACGAATATACATAGAAGTTTACGTGATATTCTTATTTTGTGATACTTTAATTCGTGCACAAAAGCCATATGGAATAAATTTATTTACGTCATTCAACATTTAATGACGCCACGTTCATTATGTAACATTACTGTACAGCATGATCGCGATTGTTTTATACTTGCAATAGCCTATTAAAATCGTATTGCTACGCAGTATGATTTAACTAAAGGCGCGAAATTATTTTATGAACAGTTAAAGATTAAAGATAAAGACGTTCGATTTATTATTTTTTAATATTTTGCGAATTATCCACTTTGATTCAGAATTAGCTGCCATTATATAAATAAATGTTCTTGGAGAACGAAAAAAATGCAGCTAGCACGCGTTTATTTCATTCTCTGACCGAATAGGAAATTAGTATTTTCGTTTCATAATGCTTTCAATATTTTTAAAAAGTTGCACAATTTTTTACGATGTCATGTTTTTTGATTGAGCAGAATGTTGTTCGTAGAATATATTGTTAATTTCACCGAGAAATATCCATCGCTTTGTAAAGGAATCAACTCTGTTACATTGTTTATTTAATAGTCCGTTTAAATGTTAATTTCCACTCAAATCAAACATATTGTATAACTGCATATAGAGTTTTATGCCGCGCATTTGTAAAATATACAGTATACGTTTTCTAAAATGACTATTTGTCAGAACATAAAATTTAAAAGAAATTTTTTCTTTTACATTATAACTATAAGTGAATGTTTTTTTTTTCGATTTTAAAATAAATAACATAATTTATAATGCAATTCAAAATCGAACTCTAATACTGTTGTATGATATTTATCACATTAAAAAATTTATGAAATAAGTGAATAATATACATTATATACAGAGACAATAAGTGAATGACTTTCTTATTAGGTAAAGACATTCGTACATTAGTCTATAATATTAAAATAAATATACAAAATTATTTTTGCTATCAGAAACTAAAATATTATAATTATTTGTCACGAACAAACCTGATACCCATGCAAATTTATGTCCTTGAGTTTTTTTAACACCTAACACTCGTAGAAATTCGCCTTCCGGGGAAAAAATCTGAACTCTCCCATTTCCAGCGTCACCAACAATGATGTATCCCTTCGCATCGATCTTCAACACCTCAGGTGATCTACAAATTAGAAATTATTCTCTAGTAAATTTTTAGATACTAATAATAATATAAATTTAGTGTCATTAAAGTATAAATAACTTTATATTAACCTAAATAAACCCTTTGCTGTGCCGATGCCACCGATCGACTGTAGAATTTGCCCGTCGTGATTGAATATCTACATAAAAAAATTGTGGTTTATTTGCAATATTCATTAGTAAAACAATAATAATATATATTATGAGATAAATATATATCATTTATTTTAATATTTGATATAATTCTTTAAGTATTTTGTGCACAATGTTAATGCAGTATACAAGTTTAGTTTTAAAGTTCCATGAAGATCAAAGAAAAATTAATTTAATCCATCAGAGAAAGGTGAATAAATATCCAAGACAACTCTTTAATATGATTATACCTTTATCTTGTGATTTCCGGAATCGGCGATGGCGACGCGAGTTATCGTAACAGCCACGTCGGTCGGTTGATTCAATTGGCTCGCGGTTGGGCCAGTTTTACGGAATCTGACAGTGCCCCTTGTGTTTTTACCCTTGGGCCCGATGCTGTCCAGATACGTGCCGTCCCTCTCAAGAATCTGGATACGATTGTTCTCGGTATCAGCGACGTAAAGCACGCTACGTTCCGGATGAAACGCGATTCCTTCCGGCGAGCACAGCTCCGACTCTCTGTGACCTTTTTCGCACATGCGACGAACGAGTTCGCCGTTGTGATTAAACACGAAGATGCAATGCTTCCATTTATCTGCGAGGAACATCGAATAATTAACGAATTACTGATATTCGCTAATTATTTCTGATTATTGAAATACTAGTTCTTTCGTAAATAATGGTCCGAATTAATAAACCAAGCTTATCAAACTGTGAATAACAAATTTCAATCAATATATGTGATCTATAATTTGGAGATCACTATTGTAATAATTGTATATGGATTGCAGCTTTTTTCTGAGTCAAGATAGATAAAAAAGTGGTGGAGGAAAATCTCTCGCTATTTAATTTGATCCACCATTCTATGATTAGATATATATTTTTCCTACTCAACGGTTATTTATACATTTACTATTTATTTGTCTATACTCATTAATTTTTATTTCGTTAAACCGTTCGTTTAAAAAGGAAAATATGTATAGATGCAACAAAAACGAAAGAAAATTTAAATTTTAGGAACTTAATCTGGAGCCCTGCCGTTTTACGGATTAATCCTCGCTCGAGGATTAAATATTGATACCTGTCACGTATATCTCGTCGTGTTCCTGCAGGAAGGCAACTCCTTGAGGTGCCATCATCTCCTGGTGACGAATTTTCCGCACAAGTTTGAACTTCCTGTCGAGAATGACAATCCGTCCCGATCCCGGACAGGTTACGATAATGTTATCCCTCCAGGAATCAACGGCAAGTGCCGATGGTCGCTGCACTATGTCACGGGTCACGATAATTTTGGGTGTGAAATTTTTCCGCCTGCCGTATCAATTTTCTTTCATTTCACGATCTCGTATCGTCACAGTCACATATTGTATTTAGTGTGCATACATTCTTCACGCGACGCGAAATGACTTTCAATTTAATTTAAAATACACAATGTGATATTAAAAATTCAGATAACACAACAATTAAAAAATCCTTATAAAGACGTAGCTCCGAAAAAGACGCTTATATGTATATTTATATATCTACATTTTAGCAATTTCTTGATATTTTTATATGTTCTTTTGATAAATCATATTTACTCTGCACGAGTTAAAGAAATCTAAAATTTCTTTCTTTTACTCTTCGCTTTTTTTACAAAATACTTTGGCAATTTTTTATAAATTGTAATAAAAATTTCGATTTTAAGCCATTCATCTTGTAGCCTCTTTCAACCATATATAATCGCATAGTAAAAATTATGTCATAACAAAAATATGTGAAAAATAATATTCGAAATAGTATTTTAAAATACGTGTAAATGATAAAAGATTAAAAACTTTTCTTTATCTAATTTTGTTGGACACAATAATTATATATATAAAATAATTATATGAAAAGATTTACTTACTTGTACGAAGGACCAGTCTTCTCTTTCATAAATGACTTTCCACGCTTGTTAACTTTTCTGAGGTCCCTCTCAAAATCATTTAATTCCGATTCCCAAATGGTAACTGCTGCCATTATTTCCGCGGCCTTTTGCTGCAGGTCCAAAAATGTTTTCACCTGAAATAGACACAATTTAGCGTATCATCGGAGACGGATAAAATTGCCATGAACAACTATGCGCTTAATATAATTTCCGTCTAATTCAGTATAATTAAAGTAGATGGACTTTGATTTCCAAGCGAATACGACGATGAAAGTTTCCTCCGGGGTGAGAAGTCGTTCGCTTCTCATCGCGGATGAATCGGCGAATGAACAAAAATGAAATATATGCAGAGCAATGCAGTTGACGTTCTTCGCCGCAAATCCCGCGCGGTGTGCAACGACGCGTCGCTAAATTGCGGTCAATTTCTGGTATAAAGAGACACGAAAGGAGAGAGAGAGAGAGAGAAAGAGAGCACGGAGGAGGAGGGGGATGGACGAGAGGGGAAGAAAGAGAGAAGGAGGGAGAGAATGAGAGAAAAAAGAGAGCGGTGAAGCTTTGTGCTTTCTGGCACTTACGGTACCCCGAAGTCGTACCACCGGCGGTCACGTGGCGACGTGTGCGGGCCCTTTGTCCCCGATCGCGGGGTCCCGCTCCTTCCTTCTCTCTCGCTCGCCCTGACCGCGTTTCGATCGTCGCGAACAGGAGGATCGCCGCGATTCAATGCGCGAGGACACGTGTACCAAATAGGCTTGGTTGCCTAAAGCCTGTTTGCGCCGCGGCGATGAATCCCCCGACATTGCCGGCCGGCGATTCGGCCAATGCCATAATCTGACGAGGAATCCTCGTCGAACCGATTTCATTCTCATTTCGATGAAAATTAGAAGATACAATTGTAGACGAAAAAGAAAAATACAAGTACATGTTGATGTATTTGTCTCTATCAGCCCATTCTCATTTTTCTTCTTCTTCCCCCCCCCCTCCTCTTCTTCCTCTCCATCACAATTATAAAATACATTTATTTTTTATCATAATTAGATAATTTTAGATTCCTGTGTCTATTATGGCGGAAAATGTTTAAGAGGTGAAGAAAAATGATTTTATTTGCTCGGAGGCAAAGATATCTATCTCAGATATACATCTTTCTTCCAATCTACAGATTCGTGGCATTTATTTTTTTGCCACGTGCGATTCGTCGGACCGTTCAAAGTGCATCTCAACTTGGTGACTTCAAAGCGCGTCCGTCGTCGTTTTTTCCCCGACACTTAGCGTGCCGATACGTTTCACGCCGATCAGGTGGACAGCGCGACGCGTCGCCGATAAAATGGTCACCCAAGAATCGACATCCCTGTCCGACAATTTGGTGCCTTTCCTCCGCGAGAACGGAAGTAGTTGCCAATTGGAAACGAGCCGTGCTTCTAGCGAAATATGAGAAATTTCGAGCGCAAGAATACGGGGAGAGCTCTGGCCTGATAAGACGCGAATTCAGAAGCGAAAGTACTGCAATCGGACAATCGGACTTTGCGAGATACTACATGCTAGATTTTTAGCGTCAGCTGTAGAAGAAACAGACAAAAATAGATTGCAGAAGTAGCTATGATTCGAAAATAAAAATAAAATCACATGGGTCGTATATTTATGTAAATTCGATTGTCTTTCAATGTTAGATTATTTCTAAAATAGATCTTGCCGATAATATTCTACACACACACGTGCAAACACGCGTGTATGCAAAATGTATTAGATATAGGGTACATATAAAATAAAGTGTTAAAATTTATTAGCTAAAGTAATTTTTTATTTGTTAAATATAAAAGAAACTTGTAAGACAAGAACCCAGGTAACAATCTAACGTTATCTGTCGTCATTGGTTTTGACCTTAAAATGACGACAAGTAACGTCAACTTGCTACCTGGTAAATGCATTGTTCAAAGTGGCAAATGTAATGATATAGAAACAAATTTTTTTATACTAATTGTAAGCACTTTTATGAGATATCAAAATGATATCGTTTCACCCTCCCGTTACGTGCACGCGCGCGCAACAGCTAATTTACAGCGACGTCGCTTTTTTTAGTGATCGGCAAATGAGCCAATCTGGAAATCTAGAACCCCCTTCCCCCCACACAGTTAGGGGGGCCGCAGTGTCCCATGCACGCGTTCTTTAACCAGCGCGATATAAACATACACGTCGGAATTAATGATACACCGTTTAGTTACGCGTCAGTTGATTTTCCCAGGGCAGCAGCTTTGTGAATTTGGGGGGTGAAAAGGGGGGGATAGGGAACTGTATCTTAGGGGATTCGACACGCGCACTTCAATATGTCACTGTGGCTAATTTTAGGGGGCCAACTACCCCGCGCCACCGGCGACTCGGGCACCCCCGCCGAACCTCAAAGACGGGAAGGGGGCGTATCGTATCCTGTAAACCTGCAGCAATCAGCATCAGATCCAACTTTCGGCCTGATTTTTTTCGTGTCGACGCCCATTACCCCCGCCCCCTTTTCCTCATCGCTCGCGTCTTAACAATTAACGAGTCTCCACGGCATCATTAAGCCGTACGACGCTTTGTCTCGGCGGCAAAAATTTCAATGACGGTTCGGCAGGAGCTACGACCCATTGTAAGTAGTTCCTGAGACAGAGCACTGTAAATCGCAATTATGCTAATTTTTAATTTGCTTAAAGTAAATATAAGGTATGTCATTAATAAAACACATAATTATACATTGATGTGTAATTATGTCCACTTTTTTACTTGTTATGTTCATTATCGAGAGTCCTTAGTTATTTATACATTTATGTACTATTTTGTTTGTTTTAAATTAACTGATCAACTAATCATTATTAGATTGAGGCTTAATATCACAATAATAATCTTTATTCTTCCTATCTTTTATATGTTAAAATAATATAAAATAAGCCTGATAGCCTAGAGGCCCTTATTGATAGGTGACGTTAATTTTCGTCACTGTACAGCGACGAGTAGAGTCGCTTTTCAGTTATGAGCTGCCATAAAAATGCTGTTTATCACTTTTCTTTTCTTTTAATCTCACGTTGCCGGTGTTATTTCAAATTACCGTGTAAAATGAAACTAATTGTCGGAAACTAATCATCGTACATATGTCAGAAAACAATCGTCCCATTTTTATTTCGTAAAATAATTATGCAATTTTATAATCTTTTATATTTCCTAGAAAAGTTTTTCACTCAAAGAAACATTTTTTCAGAATCAAATTCCTTTCGCATGACTTCGTTCAATCGGCGAGATGATCGGAGCAGTCACACCGCGTCATTGTTATTCGTCCGATTATGCAGAAGATGAGAGACGAGTTCGACAATTAAGTGACTTCGGCGAATGATTCGGCGGTGCGTTACATAATTGTCAGGCCAGTCAGTCATCGAGCGAATTTTCCGGGCCCGGCGGAATATCCGCGCTAGCGGGTGCGGTAATAAATTATAAAAGATGATCGGTAATTAACAGTAACTGCAACTGGATAGCGTTTATGCTGTCGCCGGTGGAATATACGCCCGCCGGTGCCTGTAGCTGACTCTTTATAGTGGGGTGTGCTCGTGACGTGAATTATTAGCCCTTGGGCTCCACAGAGAACCTCCAGGTCTACATACGTATATGTGTGTGCGTATGTGTGTGCGTGTATGTGTGCGGGATCTGTGTTCGCGGGCGTGGCCTGGCGAGAGTGTCGGGCGTGGCTACGAGCCAACCCCGAAAAAGCTACCCCGAGAGAAACGAGAGCGTGCTGAGGGAATGTATTTACGGGGAATTGATTCAGGATGGATCCCATTTCGCCCACGCGAATGTATATAAGCTGCAAAATCTACTTTTCTTGCCGGCTCACCTACTTTGAACAGCTCGGATGAGCAGCATTTTCTCTTTCGCGGGTATATTTTCTTTTTTCTTTTTTTCTTCGACATGGAGTTGCGGTCGATTCATATAAATCGTTGGCAGATAAATTTCATTATTTGAATAGAAGTAGTAAATTTCAGAATGCTGCAGAGAGATGTTAGGCGTAGGTATTTCTTTCAAATTATGATTGGAGATTCTTTTGGTAACAGTAAAAAATTAAGGGATCTTGTCAAATGAGATATATAAATCTTTGTTTCTTTTTTTTATTAATTCTGAATTTTACGCGCGCGCGTTAAAAGAAATTTAACTTGTAATTTAATTACTGCACACTTATGTCCATTTCTACCAATGTTAACTTTAATCTCGGTTTCTTAGAAAATTAGAAAAAGATAAAAAGTAAATTAAACCGAAAAATTAAAGTGTTAATCTGCAGTGATAGAAATGGACATTAATGCTGAAAAATAAAAGATCGCAATAAATCGACTGCTTTGTACAAGAAATGTTTCTTCGAAAGACATCGACTTGAGAGCTATGGATAAAAAAATATTGATAAAAATACAAAATAATACATAAAAATGTCTAAAATTATACACCTTTATAAAGCGCAATATGGCGACGAAGTCGCAAGTGTATCTCATTCGATTTACTTCCTTGCGGGATAGAAATCCTCGATACGTTGAGAATGAGTCGCAGAGTGAAAAATGAATGGAGAGAATGAGAGACAGGAGGGGGAGAGAGACAGATATAGAGAAACAGAGAGAGAGAGAGAGGAGGGAGAGAGGAAGGATCGTAAAGGGACAAACAGAGAGACAGAGAGAGAGAGAGAGAGAGGAAGAGGAGGAGGAAAGCCACGTTGCGGAGAAAGAGACAGGATTCAGAAGAGCCTTTGCCATCGTACCAGACCACCGTGCCTGCGTTTGTACAGTGGTAATGGGCTGTCAGGAGCAGACGTTGGCTGCTCGTGCCTTATACACCAACACCATTATCCTCTTGCTATCCCGGGTTAGGTCCTATCGGTTCGCGAACCCGCCCTGAACTCGCTTTCGTCGCATCCCTCTATCTCTCCCCG